GATCATAGAATAGGTGCAGGTGTGGTTAAGGTTAAGGGATGGCAGACGGGCTGTTTCTCTTGGCAGCTGCTCTGAGCGTTGGGATTTAGCTTCAGTCTGGAGGGGAAAGTGTATGCGGGTGAGAATGTGCTTGATGTCTGGTAAAGGTTTGATTCTGTAAATGTGTTGGAGTGGGATTTCTCTGCAGGCATAATATTATATGTGTTTTTACTTACATAGAAAAGGTGTTTCTTCTTTGTTTATGTGTCCATGTGCGTTTCTGTGTGTCCGTGCTGATTTATAGCCTCAGAGCGGCGGGCTGACCTCCTCGATGTGTTGTTTGGTTTCTGTGGTCAAGTTGGAGTTTGCCCAGGCGCTGGGACTGCGAGAGCTGGCTGGCAGAGGGACCGCTGCCTGGCTCAGAGCTCAGGGGTGACTGTGTAAATATGTTGTGAAAGTAGCTCGCCTTAAAACGCAGCCAGAGCTCGGACCTCCCAGAGTCTTATCCTGCTTTGTGGAGCATTCCTACCCACTTCTTTCCTCTGCTGACATATGATCCAGAAACTAAACTTGAGTTTTTCTCCTTTTAAGCTGTTGTCTTCGCCTTGTGAGGGGCGTAAAAGGTCAACAGAGCCATTATCAGGTGTCCCTCTGGGGGTATGAAGCATTTTTAGGGGCATTGATTTGTGCTGTTTAGTTTATGCTATGCTACTCTGTGCCAAGAAAGTGTGACCCCAAAAAGGATCAGCAGGGGGTCTCCTGACATCACCTAAAAACTTCCCTCTCATCAAAAAGGCCTTTGTTAAGTTCCTTTCACCTCATGTTTAAACTATGTGTGTGTGTATAAGAAAGAGGCAAGCAGTTCATTTTAATACGTTTTAGCAGCTTGTACACGCACCATTCATCCATCTTGTGGGGATTTTGAAACTGCATTAATATTGCTTTTCGTCCCATCCATCATATATTTGTATTCACAAGAGTGCACACGATGAACTCTGTCCACCCTGCATCACCTGGGTCAGGTTCAGATTGAGACACATGTTTGGCTTCATGCACATTAGAGCACTCTCCTGCCCCCACCTGGACACAGCCAGAACACCCAGCCAGCAAGGATCTGTGTGTGTGTGTGTGTGTGTGTGGGCCGAGCAGGGTGAGGTTCGGGAATGAAAGGAAAACATTTAATGTGACATTTGATTATTGAAACAAAGAACGAATAGATAAGAGTGTTATCGATCAGTCTTTGTTGTGCTTCTGTAATCTAATCTGCAGCCCTGAACTCATTCAGGGCTGTGTCTTCAACAGTGCCTTTAACACAAAAGTATGTGAAGTGAGCTCAGCCGTTGCTCACAGCCACAGGCAATGACTTTTCCAGCAGAGCGTTGGCCGGGAGAAGAGTCGTATTTCAGCGGAGTCCTGGGAGACGCTGACAGCAGCAACCCTGTTATTGTCTGAAACTCTGCCTTAAGCACCTCTCTGATGCGCCACATGATGCTCCAGAGAGAAAAATGTCGCTGTCCCTTCTCAAATATGAAAGCTGATTTCATGTCTTTTGTGGTTCCCCCAGGGGTCTGAGTGTGATTGTGTAATTCCAGGGTGTGCTCTGTTTGGGTGTGGGATCAGTGGTTTTTGCGACTGTCGCTGTATTTAATCATTTTACAATATATTTCAGTTCATCTCACGCATCAGGTCCGTTGATGTGACCTAAAATGATGAATGAGCTATAATTGAGCTCTTTTTAAGTGTTGGGTTTACTAATCAGTGTTATCACATTCCCTGACTCTGCACACGCATTACTTGCAGTTCGGGTTCCTGTCATCAACATATAGAGTAGTAGCCCCTCATATATAGTAAAGGAGAAGTTTCTCATGCTTTAATGTACTGCTGGAGTGAGTTCACAGATCAGCGCCAGAATACAAAATGAGAGATTTGGCTCTATCATACAGCTGGAGCGCAGTTTAGGAATATGTACTGCTTCCCTACATCTGTAAAACAGCAGTTTATATAACGTTTGGCACGAGAATCTATCGAGTGATGTGTGGGGAAAGAGCAGCTCAAAGAAAGGAAACCAGAACCAGATTCAGTGGTGGTCACGGTGGATCAGGATTCTGACAATAGTTTTACTGTGAAGGTGCAGCTTCATGGGAACGTGTGTACTCTATGAACTTTACACAAAAAACTGTTTTGTGTAAAGAAAATAAGCGTTCATCTCTTTGTGATGGAGTTGATCAAATATATTAATTTTGTCATGATTTTTGATATGCTTTCAAAAGCTATTTTCAAATAATAGTATTTGTATGTATGTACTATTGGGGCTCATGTTGGGCTTTCAGCCTGCAGATTGAAATAAACTGGTGTGAAGGTGTCAGCTTTACGAGGCAGGGAGGGTCTATGAAGTTGCATCATGGGAGTCTTTGGAGCTTTACTCATACTAAGGAGTAGAAGTGAGGACATTATTTCAAAATGTTCCAATCAAAGTGTTATTTTGAGTTGCAAGAATGCTGAAAAATGTTGTTTTTGACTTTCCTTTGCCTATCCATCTGCATTTGGTTTTATTCTCAGCTCCTGGCCGTCTAGGCCTTTTTAACACAAATAAAACTGCAGCTGGCTTGAACTGTTGGTGCTGAATGATCCACGTAGCCCAGGTCCACATTCCCTACTCAGCTTCTTCTCACCCCTTCTTCCCTTTTTGCCTTTGGCTATAGAGTTAGTAATCAAAAGCAGCCATCAGATGTTCAAGCCTCAGTAAGATCCTTATAGGAGCGGACTTTTCTCTAGGCAGTGCACACGCCTCCTCCACTTTGTACATGTCACACTTCTTTAAACTGCTCTCGGTGCTGCGAGGATGTTCTCATTAATGCCAAGGTGTATGACTAATTATCTCGTCTTGGTACAGTTAGGATCTGTCCTTCAGCATCCTGACATTCCTCTGGCTGCTCTGGGAGCTGTAAAAAAGGAGTTTAGAGGAAAATAAAGTTGAAGAATGACATATGAATAGGAAAGCAGTTGCAGGGCTGTTTTGTTGCACAGAGGTCTTATTCCTTATTGAATGTGACCTCATTTCAAACACTGAATTCCCATCATCCCCTTTCGGTGCAGCTGTTACACGCAGTCCTGCCAGGATAAGGGAGACTGATACGGAGTAAAGGCTCCTAACAGTTTCCGACTTTAGCTAAGAGGAAGCCATTCGAACGTTTCCTGGGAGCTCTTATAGCTCAGAGGCTTGTGTCATGGCTTCTTTAGGTTTTCTGTCTGAGGAGGTTTGGGGATTTGTTTGCCTTCAACCTGCATACACCCTTCTAATATTACGAGCCAAGGATGGAGCATCAGAGTGTTCTGCTAGCGTTATTAAAGTATCTGAGACGGGGAGTTCTGTGTGGTATGTTGGACTGTCACTGGTTACACCACAAATGCAATCCATTTCAGTTTGTCAGACAAGACAGATACCCATGGAGAATTTAAGTATGAAAGACATGTTGAGAGGTTTCAGATTTGGTCATAATTGAAAACACTTCCTCCGCTGTGGTCCGCTCTCATGGTTGCATCACTTCATGATTCCCACACCCCCTCGAAAATATATTGATTTCAGCTGAGTTTGGTTTGATTGATGAGGAATGACATCATGTGTGTGATCGGACATGTTTGGATAGACACAGTACAGCGTTTTGGTGCCATATGCATTCTGTGGCCTAGAGAAACATTTGGCAAACACACACACCCGGCTCCCTGTGTAGCCCGGGGATCCTTCTGAGCCTTTCCTTTTCTCCCTCTTGTTCTGTCTTGCTCTTTTCTCTATCAATCTTTGTCTCTTCCTCTCTTTCTTTACATCTCTCACTTCTGCTACTGTTCCTCCCCCCCTTCACCTCAACCCAGTTTATGCACACAACCCCCTTTAAATCAGATCAGGTGAGCTACCTATACCTGCAGGTCTGCTCATGTCTCCGTGCCCCATGTGCTAAGTTCATCCATTCGTCTTACATGATAAGCTTAAAGGCTAAATCACTCATGTCCTCAAATCTGGGGTGGTTTTTAAATACACTTTTCATAATACTGTACATCATTCAGTTTGAGACCAGTAGTTGACAGTTACAAAGTACATTTACTCAAATACTGTGCTTATTTGAGTTACTTTGCTTAAGTGCTTTCATTTCCTTCTACCTTATACTTCTACATCTTAAAGGCAGATATTTCACTTTTTACTACATTGACTTGAAAGCTTTAGTTTGAAGATTCAGATTTATAATACAGCTTATCAAAAATTAAATTATTAAAACATGTATTATGTATTATTACAGAGTAAGATAAAACTTAATTGGTTCCTTGGTGAAATCTACAAGCTATCCGAGGGATTAGGACAACAGTGTTGCATTAACAATTATTAAACAAGTATATACTATTCAATATTCTCAAATGGGCCATTGTGGAGAATGTGTAATTTAACCTTTTGTACTTTAAGTTTATTGAAGTTAACACTTTACTTTTACTTAAGTCACATTTTTAATGCATGTCTTTTGGTTGGAATAACATATTTTTGAACTAAACTATTACTACTATATCTTAGTATCTTGGCCTCCTCTGTTGAAGACTGACCTTGTGTGTGTGTTAGTGTGAGCCTGTGGTTGTGTGTTTGTTTGTGTGATCGTCTGCAGCTACATAAAGTCCTTTGTTCCATGTTCTCTTGTAACTCAACTCTGTTGTCCGTGAGCTTTTTGTCTTAAAACTCTGGTGCTCATCTCTGATGTAAAACAACACTCTTAGACCCCGGACGAAGTTCTCCAGCGTTTAGTCTGCCTGTAGCCCCTACCGGCTTGACCTAGTTTCTAGCCCTGCCTGTTCTGCATGTGATAATGCTGCTCACAGATGTTCTCCCTCCTCATTATTTGTTTATTTCGCTTTCATTTCTCCCCGGGGGTCCGCCAGTGTCAGACTGCCGTCCCTTTTCCATTTGTTTGCTTGTTTGTTTAAATGCATGACTTGTAGCTTCGTTCAGTGAGTCACGACTTCCTGTTTCTTGTGGTTTCCAGGGAGACATCCAGCAGCTATTGATTGTAGGAGACCATCGTGCTGCCTATGACTACTGTGAGCACTACAGTCCTGATTGTGAAGTGCCCATGCCCGACCAGCCTCAGAACCAGGACCCCAACACCGATGAATATGTGAGTAACCAGGCCGTTCTTTACGTTTATATCATCTAATGTTGGTTTTAACTCTAGGGTTTACAGTGCAGATTTGTTAACAGAAGGCCATTACTAGAGGACATTTTGGTGGATTTTTGCATACAGGACATTGTAGAAACCAGCCAGAGAATCACCAAGTGTCCCAATGGCTGACCTTTCTCCAGGAAGTACATTTCCCTTAATCCATAATTGTCTGTGATACTAAAATCAGATCAGTATAGGATCCTGTGCTGATAAGAGCCTCTTGGCTAATACAGGAGAGCTGCACTCTGCCAAAGGAAAGTGCTGACTGGAGAGATCGGGCTTATCAGGCTATGCAGTTAGTTAATAATGTTCAGGAATGATGTGGTGCCTGCCTAAGCCTGCATCCCTGCACCACGCCGCTTCCTGATCTGAATACCAATACACTGCTTGCTTATTAAAGGTGTGTCAGAGGAGTGTTAAAAGATAGACAGGAAGTCCTTCCTCTTGACCTTTTCCTCGCCCCAGGGGCCTGTCAGTATGCATGCGAGGTACACAAGAACTTGACCTGCTTTCTCTCTAAAGATGTCTGACTGATTAATTAAGAAAGCAGTGGAGGAGTAATTTGTCATTCAGTCGTAACAAGTTGCAACAGGGAGGTGCGATGTGAGTTTTCCACGAGTAGAAAGCATTCCTGATTGTGATCGATGGCCAGTCCATCACACATCTATCAGCCACGCCCAGCAGCAGAGCACTGCATCATGTTTGAAAATCATCTCAGTGATATCATATTATTCATTACAGACTTTACAAATCAAAAATATGATACTAACCAAATGCATGAATTGCAGTTATAAAATAACTATACATAGACACACAGTATGTGCTTATGATTTTCTAGAGTTTAAAGAGGTAAGAAGGTTGGGGTTATCCATACATTTTTATAAGCTAATTAAAGGACTCCATATCTTAAAAACATCTTTAAAATGTATGTTGCCTTAGAGAGTGGATGAAGTCTATGAAGTATCTCATAGATACTAATAATCAAGTGTTTAATATGAATAGTTATTGTTATTTATCTTGTGATGTTTCTTTCTTTCAGAACACAGAGGAGGACAGCTACTATTACGAGTACCCTTACTATGAGGACACCGAGGGAAAGCCTCTTGAATCAACATCTGATGCTGAGACGACAAAAGAAGTCAAGGTGGGCTACCATCATATCATTGCCAATATTGACTTCATGTGTTAACGCCAATACAGTCGTATTGTTTCACATTGTGTGCTGCATGTTATCTTTTATCACATTCAAGGCTTATATGGAGGTTTTAAAAAGTGATGATTTGTCACAACCCTAAATAAAGGGATTTATTTCGTTTTAGGTTAGACTAAATGTTAAGGTTAAATAAATGTGTGCCCTGTTAATACAGCTGCTTGACTCAGTTGTGTGAGGCAAGCTTGAAAGCTTGTTTGTCTTTTGAAATGCTAAATGGCAACACATATGGATTGATGTCAATTGTTTTGTATCACAAGTCTGAAACAGTCCCATGCAGCCACAGCTAGAATCCAATTATTCTAATAGTATAGTACTTAATCAATTGAATTAGCCTTATATTAATCTGTAACTGTGAATTACCATCTTTTAAAACGATGAAGAGTCAGATGAAAAAAAAATGTGGAGCTTGGAACTCCTAGTATTGGGTACAGTCCTCCTTCAAATGCTCCAAAGTAACCATGTTGATGCCTTACAGATGGCAGATGAAGACAGCGTGGTGTCTGAAGTGGAGGAGGCTCTGAGGGGTTCTGGTGCCATCGGCGGCAAAGTGACCTCCATCACCAGCAGCTCATCAGCTGGATCATCCGCTGGCTCATCCGCTGGCTCATCCGTTGGCTCTTCATCCAGCTCTTCATCCAGCTCCACAGGAACTGCCACTGCCGGAGGAGAAGCCGACGGAGAGGAGACCAGCCCTTACGAAAGTTACGATGGCTACGGTAACTACGAGACTTACTATGACGAGGCCACGGCAGCCCCAGATACAGACTCCTCCCGACGGGTCACCATCACCAGCAGCAGCATCGGCACCGGGGGCGAGGTGGACCTGGAGGCAGAGGGAAAGATTGACTTGAGTTCAACCTCCAGCATCGAAAGGCGGGTCACCGGTGGAGAAGGATCTTCAATCACCATGACCGCCAATAAGACATCAGTACGTTGATTACCTACACTGACATCCTCACTTTATCGTTGTTTATGTATGACCTGTAGGTCCAATAGATGTACTGATAAGCTTTCAAATCCTATTATTTATTTTGTTACATATGCAAGTCCTACCTGAAATTATGAGTTTGATACGTAAGCAGGGTCTTCTTTGGGCCCCCTCCCTCATGTTATCATCAGCCAACCCAAATGGGGGAAGCAAAGCCAATGTGGATGTTTCTAGCATTGCCATCACTAAGAAAAGAAAAACATGCCTTTAAGGAAATCTCAATCGTTACACAGTAATGATAAAACAATTACTGGACTGACATACTGCTGCTACTACTACTATACTATTTAGATGTTTAGTTCCATCTCTTAAACATGACTTGTATATGTCCTGAGTTTAGGACATATATTATTGGAAAACTTCACATTTAAAGAAAGCACCCATGACTTGAGATACAGCATTTTTCAGTATTTTCTGACATTTTAATGCACAAATTATACAAATACTGTTATAGATTCTGGAAATAATTAGCGCAGTACGCTACATGTTTTAATAGGTCAGAAATGTAATCAATGTTTTTGATTTTGTTATGTCATTTGTATACACAGGATGTTACCCATACTTCAAATATGGGACATTTTACTAACAATATCTGTGTTTTTATAGGTTGCAACTTCCGTTGGTGACTATGGTGATGAGTATGATTATGGCACCAACGACGCTTATAGCCTTGGTGCAGAAGGTGACACCACCAGTACCGTCCATGTCAGTGGAGGTGGAGGCAGCAGCAGCAGTTCAGTCCATGTCAGTGGTGGTGGTGGAGGAGGCAGCAGCAGTTCAGACCATGTCAGTGGTGGTGGAGGAGATGGAGGAGGCAGCAGCAGTTCAGTCCATGTCAGTGGTGGTGGAGGAGATGGAGGAGGCAGCAGCAGTTCAGTCCATGTCAGTGGTGGTGGAGGAGATGGAGGAGGCAGCAGCAGCAGTTCAGTCCATGTTAGCGGAGGTGGAGGAGGCAGCAGCAGTTCAGACCATGTCAGTGCAGGTGGAGGAGGCAGCAGCAGTTCAGACCATGTCAGTGCAGGTGGAGGAGGTGGAGGAGGCAGCAGCAGTTCTACCATCACTATCGGGGGCGGGTCTTCCTCTGCGGGGGGATCTTCCACCACCGGAGGGGGATCAGCCAGCGCCGGCACCGGAGCAGGGGGCTCCATCGCCACGGGAACAGGCCTGGGTGTTGAAGGAGAGGGATACTACACAGACCTGGATGGGTTCAAGGAGGAGCACCTCAGCGAATACGGCAATTTAGACTCGTACGGCACCTACGATGGGCTCGACTATGGAGACGAGGGCAAAGTGCTGCCTGCTGAGACCGGGACAGATTATGGACAGGTGAAGAAGACCAAGTGGTACTCAATTTAGGGCCATCTTCCAATTCAAAATGAAAAAAAACAGATTCACGATAAGAATTGTTTTTTGGGCTGGGCAATAAATCGATAAAATATTGGTATTGTGATGTGATATGAACATATATAACATTCTAGATTTTGGATATCAAAAAAGTGTGATAAGGCGTTTTCTTAAATCAGACAATTCTAGCTGTTCTATTATCTGCCTTTATCAACTCATTATATATAAATGACTAGTTAATATTTATCAAAAATCTCAATAAATATTTCTGAGTAAGAGGTCTTTACTCAGATGTTCTTCAGATTGCATAAACACGCCTGTGTCCTGTAAACAATTGATATTTTATGACAAGTTACTGACCTTTTTAATGTTAATTAATGTAATCTGATAAATATAATGAATGTTTGTTTATTATCTGGCCCTGGCTTCCAGTCATTTCCTCACAAGTTGAGTTTCCCTGATCTAGAAGAGGAGCAGGAGATCATGGTGAGGGTGTTGAAGAGGCCTTTGCTGATCATGTGTGTGTGTGTGTGTGTGTGTGTGTGTGTGTGTGTGTGTGTGTGTGTGTGTGTGTGTGTGTGTGTGTGTGTGTTTGGTGTGTAGGTCCACGGAGCCCGTGGCGAGAAGGGACAGAAGGGAGAGCCTGCTGTTATTGAGCCTGTGAGTATCACTATTTGAACAACATACTTGAGCAGCAGATGTAGGCTGCCTGTGATTGTGTGCACATGGGCGTATGCGTGGATGTTTATATTTGCCAGTACGTATGTATGATCCTCGTCCAAACAGAACCCTCCCATCACTTCTGACGGAGGATCCTGAGGCCAAACATTAATCAGGGCCAAGCCTTTCTCGTAGTGTCCTCGGGCAAGGCATCGCTCTTCCAAATGTTTATGCTGGGGTTCAGATGACCAGCAGAACGGCCATGTAGGGATTGTCAATAATCTCCTAACAGCGTCTGGGAAGTGTGTAAACACGGGAGAGGGAGGGAAGGAATACAAGCTGAACAAAGGGGAGTTAGAAAGACCTTTCCTGCGTCTCTGCCAAAAACATAAGCTTAGTTTGAATGAAACAGGTGGAACACATCCAACCCTGATTTAGATAGTAATGCTATATGTAAAAACAGGTGAAGACACATCCTTCGGTCTGTTAGCGAGGTCCATAAGAAGGAATGTATGTCTCTTATTCAGCTACAGCTGTTTCACTTTAAACAAATGTCACTGAGCTGCACTCAGTATACATCCCTCTGTGACTGAGTGTGTACACATCACCACCCAGTGTGTCTCTCCTCTTGTAAACATGCATTCACATTTCCCCCCAAGCTCTAGCAACACACACACACACACACACACACACACACACACACACACACACACACACACACACACACACACACACACACACACACACACACACACACACACACACACACACACACACACACACACACACACACACACACACACACTGCAGGTGAAACATAGCCATAACCCGAGGATTGTCGATGATCAATTGCAGTCATTTTGGGATGACAATTCTACAGTTCAGCCTGGGGGTTAATGAAAAACATCACACAGTGGAATACATTTGGATAGTGTGTGGGTTTCTCTCTTCTGTAAAAATAAACAGGAAGCCAAAATGTTGCCACAAAAGCAAACACACAAACAATTTCTCTGCAGCCACACAGCCGCAACAATGCATCTGTGAGTCAGATGCTCTATGGTTGTCCACACTAATGTTCGTTTTTCAGATTCTTTTATATTTAATGTATGCTTGTGTCAAATTGAATTCTTCTCTTAGTCAAAAAGAGCTGTAACTATTCTATTCTAGTTTTATGAAATGAAAATGGTTGACATTTTTGTCTTTTTTAGATATCAGATTCTGATCTAGCCACAATATGTATGCATCACCGAACTACTACATCAGAATAAAGGGAGGCGTGTGGTGCAGTGGTTTAGTGCGCTGGTGTTCGGATCAGGGGGTCACAGGTTCAAACCCCACTGCAGTCAGCATGTAGGTGTTTCCCTGGGCAAGGCACTTCACCCCAATTTGCTGGGGATTGCCCACAGTATTGAGTATGTAAGTCGCTTTGGATAAAGCGTCTAAGGAGTAAAGTAAAGATATTTTGGTGAATTTGTTTCATTAATTTTCATCTCATCTTTTTTTATCAACAATATTAAATGTTGCTATAGTCACAGGTAGTGTGTTCGTACCATCCATTCATCGCCTGCTCTGACTCGATGATGAGGATTTGCTTGTTTAGCTAAGGGGATATATGACAAAATACCCACTTTAATAAATGAATTGCACAAATTCAAAGCATAGACACATGTACAAACAGGCTTTCATCTGCATGTAAGATCAAATCTTTCATCGGATTATATGAAAACAAATGAAGCCTTCTTCATTAGTCCTTCCTTCAGCTTGAACACGTTGGACATAACCTTAGGGTGTCTTTGCCTCCGATGCTGTGCAGTCGCTCACCCTCCCTAACTCCATGGATTAATGGAAAGCATAACTGAAATGACAGGCAGGAATGTGCATCAAGGTTGACTCCAGAGGTAGAACGTTGATAGGCAGGTGTTGTGACATGCATTCATGTAGAGTTTAAGCACAGCTTTGTGTTAATGAAGTCAGAATTATGCCTGTGTGTGCACCTGCAGATTGCTGCACTCTTGACTAATGATTTCTCTGCTTGTGTTTCAGGGAATGTTAGTGGAGGGCCCGTCTGGGCCTGAAGGGCCAACAGTAAGTCAACCTGTCTCTCCTTTACTTCCTCTCATCTTCTATTCCTGTCCTCATCATGTCATTTGTCTGTGTAATCTCTGTTTATAAATGTATCTGACGTTGTGTATTGGCAATAATCTGGCACAGTACATTTCATGATACAGGGGTAACCAAGTAACCAATTAAATACATTGCAAAACTATAAGCAAGGACATATATTGTATGTCATTTTAGGAAGAAAATCATAGAATAAAGAAAACACCATAATATGCATACAATCTAAGTCAACAAGTAGAATTTTTTTATTAAATCTGTGGGATTGCATTTGCATTAATCAGAGCCCCTTAAATCCAACATTATAGCACTAAATCATGTAAATAAAATGAGTGAGAAATATGTCTTGAAGGAATCAAAGGCAAATAATTGAGTAAATTAACCATGTAAACAGACAGCATTGCAACGATAATATCAAATGAATGTTTTTGTGAATCCAACAAATAACAAAAACAATTCTAATACTCCAGTTTACCAATATGTTCTTACACAATCCATTCTTCTAAAATGCAAGTGTTCATGCTTTGCTGAGAAGATCCTGGCTGTCTGATGTAATGCAAAGGGAGTGGCCGACACAAGTCCCCTGAAGAGAAGTGGACTTGCCCAGATGTGGAAGAACTCAATTATTTATCCAGGACCGTTTTTTCAGACACAGTTGCTCTTGACACCCTGCAGATGGAGTCCCACAGAGTCCAGCCATTCAAGTGCCAAGCTTAAGACAAATAAAGAGCTCCTCACGAAGAATTTACAACTCCACAAGCTGTCCCATATTGCCTCATGCATTCCTTTCCCCATGTGTGACCACTTAAGGCCAGATAAAGGGGAGGACTTTTAGTGCAGCAAACGTCCCTATTCCATTATGTATATTATGTGTGTGAAATTCGTTTTTTTTTCTTGACATAGGGCCTCCCCGGACCCCCAGGTTCTTCTGGCCAACCAGGCAGTTCTGGAGATTCTGGAGAGAGGGTGTGTTAAATTAAGCTCTCCAATACAGAAACTAACCATATTTCTGTCTTAGTGCTTGAACTCATGTTTGTGTCATTTTTCCGACAAAGGGTCTTCCTGGTCGTGCTGGCCTTTCCGGTGCTGATGGTCTGCCCGGACCCCCTGGTACTGTCCTGATGCTGCCTGTAAGTAGATAACCGTGGAGGAAGAGGAAGTGATGTGCGCTTTCATGTTTACCCCCACTTTAAAGCATTCACCATGTGGCTTTATGGAGTCGTTCAGCCTTCTTCAAAGCCAAGTATGATGTTTCATTCTTTGTTTTATCAATAACCCTGACATGTGGTTTACACAATGCAGAGGAATGAAGGGGGTTTCCTTCCAAACCGTCTTTGATTAGCCTGGCCCTTACAAATATGTTGTAATGCAATCTGTGCTTTAGCAGTCCCTAGTGGCAGGTTGAGTAACAGATGTCGCCCCTCCCATCATCTGTAGTGATCACGTTCAGATGTTTTGACTTAATAAACTTAAATCTGCATATTGAGATAAGATATACTTTATTGATCCCAAATTGGGAACATTTGTTGGAACAGCAAGATGTTAAAACAAGTAGAAAATAAACAAACATAAAATAGAAACATCTCAAATAGAAAATATAACAGAACTTAAGAGTAAAATATATACAAGTTGAACCTGACAGATAGACATCTGTGAAATGAACACTATCAAGGGCCGAATTACAGCAAAAATGAAAGGACTTTTTATTTAGTTTGAACTTATTTAAGAATTGAAGAATTGAAGAATTGAAGATAAGTTGGATACAGACAGGAAGCAAAGTCACACTGTTGCTTCTCTCTGTAGCTTCAGCTGCGTGCTATGATTCGACCGCGACACTTATCCTGCTCACAACTTCCTGCGCTGTCTACCTTTCCCCCGTTGTTTTCCTTGTATTTGGAAGATGTGTGATGCTGCTGCTGCTGTTGGATCTGATGAGTCGTACAGATGTGAGGCTGTGGTTTCAGGGGTCTTCAGAGCCGAGGGAGTTCTGTCTGGACAGGAACTCGTTCTGGTGTATCCACTGGCAGAGAGCTTGTATCCTGATCCCTGAGCCCCGAGTCTAATGGGAAACATGCATTGTTGTTTCACCCTCTTCTCACCAGAGAACTGTTTGGCTCCGTGTTCAAATCATGGACTCAACACTTAAGATGCAAGTCCTAACAATATGTTCTTGCTTAAACAGTCCATTATATAGTGATTCATCTTCTCCTTATCTTCCTGTTGACAGTCCGCTCCAGCATGAGGTGGTGTTGTGTGAAAAACATCACTTGGTTCCCATCGGAGTGTTTTTCTCTATCCCTGGCCGCACTAGTCAACCATTTGATGAAGCAGATCATTTTGTTCAAAGCTCAAAGATGCAAAGGAATGTCGGGGGAAAGAAATGCAAATTAGTATGGGAATGACAAAAAAAAAGCTGAAGAGAAAAATAATATAAAACAGGCAGGAAAAGAGCTGCATATATTTGATTGTGACTGAGATAGCGAAGGAAAGGGCCAATATTTAATCAAACTTAGCAGAAATGTTGACAGAAAGGAATAAACCGTGGGCTTTGCTCAATACTAACTGAAGACATTTGGTTCATGATGGCTGAGCTGCATCACATCTGACTCAGCGCTGTTTTGAATAACGGTTTCTACTTGCTTCTTGGTTACCGTGTTTCTGCACAGATTCACTGTTGTGTTGCTGTGCGTCTGCAAACTAACGGCCTCCGTACTCCGCTGTGTAACCCAGCACGAGATGCCTTTCCCAAACGAACCATCTTTGGACCACAAACCTGGATATTCAACTATGGTGCAATGGCGTCGTTTCACCACCAGATGCCAGTATCATTCGAAGCTTGTGGCCTTTATTGGTGCTGGTTTGACAGCTGGAGGCTCATGCTCACTTTCACATCTGTTGCATAGTTTTAAGATGGGGACAAAGAAAAGTGTTGTTTTTGGGAATACAAATGAAATTGTTATATTGTTGCATTGTTTCTTATTTTCACCAGCTTTTACTTTTGTTTTGCTATATTCTACTGTGTGCTGGTTCATATTTTTAATGCAACACATTCTAACAAATCTTTGTTTCCCTCCATAGTTCAGAATGAGTTCTGGTGGTGACTCCGGACAGAAGGGCCCTGCTGTGTCAGCACAGGAGTCCCAGATGCAAGCCATCATGCAGCAGGCTAGGGTAACTGTTTACACATAATATATCAATACTAAATTGTATATTCACCAATCTTGCTTCTCCTGTTGAAATATGTCTGTTTTCACATTGTTTGTGAATTTTATAATGTTTTTTTCTAGCCATATGTTCTATAGTTATGGCATAAATCCTTGCTACCCCTTCATTATTATCATTTTTGTCATTGATATATTTGATACCCTGCGGTTGCTTACAAGCATGCATCATTTATACAACATTGCTCACAAGGGACAGACACAAATATAACTACAGCACACCCACACACATGCAAATGAGTAACTGCACGTTATAAATACAAACACTTCAACTTTCCTTCTGTTATCCTTTATTTATTCCTTTTATATATTTTTTGTATCTCATTGTTTTTCCTCTCTGTGTTCAGCTGGCTATGCGCGGCCCTACAGGTCCCATGGGTTTGACTGGCAGGTCCGGCATTCTGGTACGTGTTTCAGAAACAAACTCAGACTCAAAATCATGAATAGTAATCAACAGGGTAGCTTTGTAGTGTTGAAAACTTTTGTGAGTTTAATATCAATTAAATCGTCTGTTGCTTTTCTCCTCAGGGTCCTCCCGGGGGCTCAGGCCTGAAGGGAGAGTCTGGAGACTCAGGTCCTCAGGTATGAGATGTACAAATGTAAAAACATGTCAACCTAAACACATTTGTAAACTGTTGTGGTATGGCATTAGTTCTAAGCAGATACAAATGCAACTTTTATTCTTTAAGTTTGATATTTCTAAGCAGGAGTTTGTAAGATAAGATTTGATCCCAAATTGGGAAACATATTGGCATTAATACTTAAAATATCCATTTAATAATACACATATATAATATTGTGTAATTGCACCTTTTAAAAAATGTCGGAGACAAAACACAAATTGAAGAGCAATTGGATCTTTTTTTCAAACAATTTCTAAAGATAATGCTATATTTGAATTTCTTCTTAAAGTGTTTTGCCATCAGTATTGTGCAATCAAAGTCTGATATTGTGACAGTCCTTACATTTGAACACTTCTGAGTTATAAATACATGTGTTTGTTTCAGGGACCACGTGGACCCTTGGGATCCTCTGGACCCTCTGGAAAGCCTGGCAGAAGGGTGAGCTGAAGTAGAAAAGCATGCAGCATATGAATATCTAATGCATATTTGTCGTGCCGATTCAAAAGGCATATTCTAGTCCTCATACTCTTTCAACAGAGCAGTTATGTAACCGTTGTTCTTTTCACAGGGTCGTTTTGGAGCCGACGGTGCCAGGGGCATGCCGGGACAGTCTGGAACCAAGGTACTGTGTCGCCAACACTTCAGTATCTCCTGATGCCAGTTTCAAAGTGTGTTTTTGAAGCCTGTACAAGACGTATGGCACCTGACTTGTCTTTGCTCTTCAGGGAGACCGAGGCTTTGATGGTCTTTCCGGACTTCCTGGTGAAAAAGGACACAGAGTAAGTTCTTTTGTGGTGCTATTAAAGTGTGTTTTTTTGGAAGAAGTGCACGTGTGTGTGTGTGTGTGTATTTGTTTCGACATGTGCCACTGTTACATCTAAGTGTTTGTTGTTGTAGGGTGAATCTGGACCCTCTGGACCTCATGGTGGTCCTGGAGAGGATGGAGAAAGGGTAAGACAGAACAAAATGACAATTTCCCACATCTTTTATCACTCAATCTTTGACTTTCCTATATATATTTGTATCTCTCTTATCCCCAGCTGATGCAACATCATCCCCTTCTTTCCCGCCTTTTCTCCTTGTAACTTCCCATTATCTTTCCCTCCTCGTAACACACACACCCTCACTTTATCCCCATTATCATTCAGTGTCTGTTCCACATTCTGACCCGCTCCTCTCTCTTTCCCAGGGAGATGATGGAGAGATCGGGCCCCGGGGACTTCCTGGCGAATCAGTGAGTGATCGCGCATATTACTGAGAGACAGCGTGATAGAGCTGAGAGGGCCTGCTCTCATCATGTCATTGTGTTAGCGAACAATCAAACGACGTAATGATGTCATCTGTCATCTGCGGACTGCAACCGTTGTTCATATTGATATCAATGGAGATTTTCTTTAGCTCTATACGGATGGAAAGTCTGTGTAGATGAGGCTTTGGAGGTGTGAAAAGCAGGCAGCTCACATCCAGCTTGTTAGCCTCCCACACTCTCAGGATATTCCCCATGGAGGGAGGGGAAGGAGAAAACACCAGAAAGCCCCCTGATATCTGCTGCTATTACTTACTTCGTCCACCAGGGTGTGCTACATTTGTTTGAATTCACACTGACAGGAAAATAGGTCTTGTTGGGTAACCGTAACTGGGAGGCAAAGAACATAAATCCAATGTTTGATAGGAGAGCTGTGGGGAATACATGTGTAGTAAAGTAAAAAAAAAAGGGCTTTCAGCATCCCTCACAATCTGACGAGGTAGAATATCCTCAAGGACATTTGCGAAGTCAGGTTGTTTCCCGAAGTATGATTTTGAAACTTGATTTAGCTCAGCGTGCTTAATTATTCATGATTTCCTTCACAGGTGTGATATTCTCAATCTCATTTCCTTCCTTGTTTTTCTCCTAGGGGCCCCGCGGTTTGCTCGGACCAAAAGGACCTCAGGGACCCTCTGGACCCCCTGTGAGTCCCCGTACCCTTTTCACATTCGTGCTATTACAATAGTGTTGAGAAAGCAGAATATATATTATTTGACCATCTTATAGAACAAAAGACACTGCAAACACCCACAGGGAAATACAAAACTCAATATATTTCAGACAGCGAACACAAAGAGCAGAATCTGTTATTGAGTTTAACTCCGGCATATCAGACAAATGTTTACAGCGGAGCAAACCTAATGTTTATATCGTCTCAACAGATTTAATCTAGCATGGACAGTGCACATCAATCAAGTAGCTGATTGGAAGTGATATGCCTGCGCAGGATGTAGAAATCTAACATTTAAAAGTTTACTCTCAAATTCATAGAATGCAAAAGCAAATCTACTGTGTTTTTTTATATTTGGAGCTTGCATTGGGGGTTTTTTCTGGCTAAAAGTAGGTTTTATCAGCTGCACCCGAAATACAAACCTTTTCCATATAAAACAAATGTTCTGGCCTTCCCATATATTTGACTGAATGGCGTTTTCCTCTCCTCTGCTGCAGGGTGTTACTGGAATGGATGGACAACCTGGACCCAAAGGAAACATCGTAAGTGAAATTAAATCGATTAGAAATATTTAATGTCAGGCATTCTCTATTTCCCAGGTAAAACCACAAAACACAACACACACGCGATTAGGCATGAAATGACTTGAAAAACTCATGTCATGAAACTATTTGTAATTCATGATATCATTCTGATAATCATCAACACATTCTTAAAATAGCAATTAAACATACTGAGATCACTTTACCTTACACACATACCCCAAATATCAAATATTCTCAATGCATCATTACACACATCTTTTTAGTTCTATCCTTCTTTTTTTAAATGTAAATAACGCTCTCACTTCTTTGCGACTTGACATTTTAATTTTAAGTCTCTAATGGAAAGATGTTGGTATCCCGATCAGCTGTGATACACTTTGTAAATCTGTCACAAAGTCTAAACGTTTACCATCTTACATATTTCCCTTTTTTTGATCCTTAAATCCCCATTATTGGTTCCCCTCTCTCTCTTTATTCCAAATACATTTACGTATTAACATACATATACAAATAAGGCGAATTACAACATGCCTCTATACAAACACGTTCGGAAATGATAGTTGTTTTTCTCTTTCGTTCTCACTAACTCACACACACCCGCCTACACCAGTGCAATCAGAGGATACTCAGCAGATAATGAAGAATAGGCCGGGTGTGTTTGGATCCATTTGAGCAGTCCACCCCGACCACTTGTATTATCCCGGGTCAATTTATTTTAGCGGCAGACTTAATGAGAGAACACCAGGCGGAGCAGCTCGTCTGTCCTGGGAATGTTCCAACTAGCTGGAGATGGAGCATCCACAGCTTTCCCAGACCTAACATAATTGATTGCCATTTATCTGAGAGGGAATGTGTCTTGTGTTCAGCAGCGTCTGTCATTTGGGAATGCAGGTGTGAGCTGCTGTTTAGGTATAAGAGGGTAATAATGCTCTGATGCACTGCTGGACAGCTTCTGATTTATATCAGCCGAAAGCAGCATTTCCCTTTTAATGAACCATATGGAGCAACAAATTACTCTTACCGTCACATGGGAGAAAAAATAAATGAATCAATCTTTGTGTTTGTAATGAGATTTCTAAAATGACCGTTGTTTTCTTCAGGGACCTCAAGGAGAACCAGGACCTTCTGGACAGCAAGGAAACCCAGGAACCATGGTTAGTGACGAACAGGTTGTCTGCCACTTGAGTTTTCTCTTATTCATAACATCAAATGTTCTGAGCACTTTGTGTCCTCTCCACAGGGTCTTGCAGGGCCCCAAGGAGCCATCGGACCCCCAGGAGACAAGGTAAGATACCGTATGACGTAATCACTATAGAACAATCACATTTTGTGCAACATGCCATTTCTGCAGTGGAAATATTGACTGCCAGCTGGATAAAATGTCAATAAACACAGCATCCAAATCTACAAAATTGCATGAATTGGTGTCATTCATTTATATGGAGCTGAATGCCAAGTTATTCAGTTCCAAAATTCTTATCACACTATTATGCAAATGCACCTCCCCCCATCCCCAATGTAGGACCAAATAGTGCCGATTTGACAGCGCACACAGATTTTTAATCCTGATATATTTTTAATCCAATTTCAGCTAAATCATATTTGCCTGTTTATTTGGAGGGCATTCAGTTTATTATTGAGCTGTTGGACTTTGTAAATGAATAATGTAGGTGTTTTCTGATTATAAATGAAATACTGGAAGGCGGTAGTATTTGATGAGACAAAACTAGAATTGAATAAAGGGTTGTTTATGAAGTAATCATTTTGTTAGCATGCCATGTTGACATTAGCATTTAGCTCAATCCAACACTCTAATACAGCCTCACAGAGCTGCTTGACTGTGGAACTCAGTCTGGTTCTTTTCAGACGTTTATAATGCCTCTAACCTTTTGATTTCTTGGTGTTGTGTTACTCTGTGGTGTCTTTCTGCCCTAAAGGTTTCTCCTGTCTTCTTATTAGGGACCTTTCGGAAAACCAGGCTTGCCAGGAATGCCAGGAGCTGACGGCCCACCGGTGAGTCCAAACATCTCAGCCTTTTTTTAACATTTACATTTGCCATTACTGTAAGAATCAACGCTTTCAAAGCAGTACATGTTTAAAAAGCTCTCAAAACACACTGAGATAAGGATTGTTCTGAGATGTGTGTGATACAACCCGCCCACACTCACTCTCTTCCCACCTTTGCTCAGGCAGCACAGACACACCTGCACTAATGGCAGGTGTGTCTCAAAGGCATTCGGTGGCAGCAAAAAGAGAGGCTGTGAGATGTGAATAACTAAAGACAAATAGATAGGGATTTGGTGAAGGAGAGTAAGAGGCGATGTTGGACTGCAGACCCTTTACAATGTCCCCTGGCCCTTTGGAGTCTTTTGGAGTGGAAATAGCTCGGCCATTTACACACTCAGCTTTTTGTATTCCTCCATTTGTTGCATCTTGAATCAACCGCAGTATTCTCTCACTCAGTTTCAATGCTCCCTCCATGCCCCTTCTTTATGTCCTCTCTTGTATCTATTCCCTTCCCCCGCCCTCTATAGCGTCACTAAAAACCCTTCTGAGGCTTTGCAGAGCCTTTCTGTCTCGTGTGAATAAAATCAATTTCCTTCCATTTTTTCTCTTCTTCTTTTTACCGGACATCCACACAGGAGTGTACAGTATGTGCTTCATATTATTTGAAATCCCAAAACGGCAATTGTTGGCTTTTAGTGCCCAGTAATAACCGGTAGTGCTAATAACACTTCCCAACAAAGTCTTTTTTCAGTTTCATACATCCTGCAAAGTTTTACAACGTTACCCTTCTTTTATAGTGATAACTAATGTGTTGTAGTATTTATGGTGGTAATTATCCGATTATGAGATGCAATAATGTGCTTTGTAAATAATTCACAGGGTCACCCTGGAAAGGAAGGGCCTAACGGAGAGAAAGGACACTTGGTAAGTGATTTTCTTTAGTAGCTTGCATTGGTTATTTTGTTAATGTTTTTTACTTTATTTCCCCTTCTATTTCCTATTGTAGAATAATTTACATAAAACATTCAGCATTAATGTTGATAACTTAATGTGTGTACTGCATGCGCATGTTTGCTACAAGCTCTTTCTAACCCCCTCTCTCTGCAGGGCCCTGCTGGCCCTCAAGGACCCCTTGGTTATCCCGGGCCCCGAGGTGTGAAGGTGAGATGAATTTCAACCACTAATAAAATCATTTGTAATATCATCAGGTCATTCTGCCCGGCAATTAACAACTGTTATGGGTCTAATGTTGCCCATTATCTTATAGAAACCTTTCTGAGAAATACAGAACGTTATAACTTCCAAGGTTTTCCAACAATTTAGTGTGATGTTGTAGAAAGCTGCTAAAAAATGAAAAGCCCTAGTTTACTGCTTAACTTCCAGGCAATGTCTAGAATAGAATGGCCTCTGCTTTTGTCAACCAGGTCGTGATAATGCAAAGGATAAGACTTGAAAGTCGTCTTTTCAGATCTTGCATCCCTTTGCTTGCACAAGGTGCTGCTAGGGTTAGTCACAGGGCTGATGGCGGCTCAAGGCCCTCGTCCCTTCATCAGTAGCTGCCTGATAAAACCAAGACAAAAGAAATCCCATCAAATAAAATCTTGGCTTGGACTGATCCAGTCATTTATTCCTCCGCTGAGAGAGGGGATCACAAGAGTGGCTTGACTTTTAGCTAAAAGTCCCACAGTTACATGGCTGATGTCTGAAGTGTCTGGGAAGATAAGATGAAGGGTCAAGAAAAGTAGTGAGTATTTGTAATGCATAAAACACATCTCAATGCATCAATTACATAATATCCCCCTTCATAGCACCCTTGTTTGACACATTAAAAAGAAAAAAATATCCTTTGCGTCAGACTTCAATGACTTAGCAGCTGTGATTCAGAAAAAAATAATTGTTACCATCACATTGGTGAATATCTTCCTCGCTCATGGTGGGACTAAATGCTAGTCTACATTGTATTTCCTTAACATTACTGTAACCAGGCAAGAACTTAAGAACTCATTTTCATTCCCAATGGCAGCCTGAATCAATTGAACCCTTGCATTTTGTCTAACATGCACCTTTCCCACCTGTAACATCTTTCTGTTCTTGCATCACAGGGAGCCGACGGTGTCCGCGGTCTGAAAGGACACAAGGGTGGAAAGGTAAGAGAGCTCAGACTTATTGGCTTTACGTCTTGGAAAGTGTCTGTGTGAAAGAACCGGTGATGTCAGAGAAATGTTTGAATAATACATTTGTAGTGAGTCTTGCATGGAGTGTTTCATACTAATGGTAATCTCAATGAAATCCTGTGAAACTGTTGCTGGCACAGAAGAAAATAAAGGCTATCAACGGTTTCTATGGCAACAGGGGATCTTGCCAAGACTCTGTGTTGGTGTGCTTGTCTTTGAGTGTGTGTCTGCATATTCACACAAATGGTTGAAACACCTGTATTATCCCATTATTTCACATCCCACATCCTAACCCATTCGTCTCTTTCATTCTCTTACCCAGGGAGAAGATGGATTCCCCGGCTTCAAGGGAGATTTGGGAATCAAGGGCGACAGGGTAAGGCTTCCTTGTTTGTAATGTACTCAGCAGTATCTGTCAATCACTTCTAGAGCGTTGGAAGCATCATTCAAATGAATTAAAGTGGCAGTTCTAGTGTTACCAAGTGGTATTTGTGTTGTTGCCGCTACTGCAAAGACAATCAGATTGCTTTCTGTTGTCCTCTAGCTACGAACCACACAGAACACACTGCATTAGTACTGAAGCAAACTACAAACAGAGGCGTTGATGACATATTTGCTGTCTGTTGATTTCTATATAAACAAGTAGATCGATCTACTCGTTTGTGGACCATGCAAATTAAGAAACAATCATGAAAATCCCATGTCTAAGTAATATGATAATGGTAGCATAAAACACATGGCAGTATTAATAGGCTCCATGGCTAAAATCCCAGTTTTCTCTCCATTGGGCTCCTTTGATTACTTCCATAATATAGTGTCATCGTTATGTAAATCTTGCTTCTATTGGCTAGCGCTGCAACACATTGTACATGATAGGCCAAGGGGCGGGACATCTCTAAGCGGTTGACCAACCACAACAGAGCTGGCAAGCTAACTAATCAAAGCAGACAAATTAGAGGCATAACATACAAATATCAACCTGAAAATGAGCAAATAGGGACCCTTTAACATTTACTTCAAGTACAAAATGGTGTATTGCTACATCAGATGAATGACACTAATGTATCTTCAGCACTCTACGTTGTTTCCTGGCTTTAGTTTTGTTTGGGGTCACCTTTACCTGAGTGAAAACACCCCATGGGATTTTTAGCCCCTTACGGCCTAAGCCTCTGTGACTCCTGTGGAATTGTGGGTAATGAGCAAACATAAGGTGTTGCTCCCATTGCCAGCTGTTATGTTTACGTGAGCAGTTTCCAATTCCACTTCTATCACCTCTTTCAAATAAGTCTTCACCTCGGCAGCTTTTAGAGAAAAGCACACATTTGAAAGGTGTACATAGGAACGGTTTCCTCCTCCAAACTGCATTAGGGATTTACAATGTCAAGTAGTCGGGAAACAGTCTCTTACAGTGAGAAACATGAATGGCTCCGACCAAACTTCAAACATCAACCCCCACAATCCCTGACCAGGCTTTATAACTGAGCATAGAGAGGAAGGAGAAATCAATGGCACTTTAAATCTTCAAACCTGCAAAAGGGACTCGGGGCTCCAGCCTGTTTTAATCTGGAGATGTAGCAGATCCAGATGAAAGCAAGGATTTGAGAAGGCACTCTATTCTGGAGGAGATACACATGGACCAGAATCTAAATGGCTTATTTTAAAGCATGCCTACAGTATGTGCATGTGTAAGTGTGTGTGTGTGTGTGTGTGTGTGTGTGTTCAATTCAAAGTGTTCTCTTTGATGAGCTTACAAGTGTGAGTCAAGTACAGTTTGCTTGATGTCGTTTTATGTGTACTTGAGTGCAGTAGTGTGTGTGCAACTTCCCACCAGGCTTTAACTGGATGCCTTTCACACACCACTGGGTCTCCGCAGCAGCGACTGGTTGTCAGAGCCAGTTTGTGCTTTGTTATTTAGCGGGTGTCCTGCTATAAGGGGAGCAGGTTTATAGAGTGAGGATAATAGGGTGGCTAAATGCTTTTAGAGGCAGGCAGCAAGGAACAATCCTCAACTATATTCTCCCATGAGACCTGGGTTATATCTGGGATAGACTTGTTTGTTTTAAAATGAAAAGTTGCCCTTATAATACAAATGTGATGAAATGACAATACTGTTAATGACATAACAAGGTTTCTCAAGTATGTCTCCATATGTATTCATATTTGGAAGACAGGTTACTGAGCATGATTGATTGACAGTGCACAAGCAAAAGGCAGGATAGAGAAAAGGTTCTATTAAAGGCAATTATTTAAATATTAAAATAAAAAAATGCCATTATTAAATATTTTAAATGTCATAATTGTACTTTAACATTTATTTTTAAAATATATATTATATATATTTTTTATTTAATACATTTAATTAATCTTATTTTTGTATTTATGTATGTGTTCATTTATCTATCTATTTATTTATGTATATTGTTATTTCCCCAAGAAGAATACACTATTCTGATTATGGTGAAACTGATTGAATATTTAAGGCATGTAAATGTAATATTTTTGCTTTGCGCTTGCTGTATTTTCCAGGGAGAGCTCGGCCCAGGAGGACCCAGAGGAGAGGACGGTCCCGAGGGTCCCAAGGGTCGCTCAGGTCTCTTAGGAGATTCTGGTCCTCTCGGCCCATCTGGTGAGAAGGTAAGGTCTTCAGTTTGACTTCCAAAACCAGGACTCTGATATCCCTCAGAACGTGTCTCGATGCTTTAATGCTTCACTGCCTGATCAAAAACACGTAGTCATTTGTATCATCAGTCATGTTTGATCAAGAAGGATCTCTCAGCAATGCTAAACAAGGAACATAGTTATTGAGCTTGAACAGTGGAGCACCAACGAGACTCTGCCAACAAACTCCTACACAATCTGATTCAGAAAGTCATTAGCCGAAGTTTTAAGGTTCAACAGTTACTACAATCATGTGTTTATTGTCCTTCAAGCCTAGAGTGCTTGTTCCTAATCTGAATAGAATGTTCATTATGGTGGCTAACACTGCATCTAACACGAGTTCCACAGCAGAGTCATTTGCATATTTGATTGAAGTGTGCACAGCAGGCAACATTCAAACACTGAGCAGGCTCTAATACAGGCTGCTGTGTTAGCAGGTGTTCTTATCTTAATGTGGTTTATAGGATAACTCTACTATTGTACTTACAGTCAAAGCTGTGCATTTGTAATATATTGCGGTCTGTTTGCTTTGCATGTAGTATGCTGGCTTATCAGAACAACAGTGAATATAAATACTACTAATGATGGTTTCAGTTTACATAACTGATAAACCATCAAAAATGAAAGACATTTCAAGAAAAAGGTCACATTCATATCAAACGTCATATACAGGTATACATATATCTATTTTCAGAATCAGAAACAGGTTGATTACCAAGTAGTTTTACACATATAAGAACATAGTTTTGGTATAAACTGTTGCATAAACAATCACAGTAAGTACAAATAAGTTGTAAAAAAGGAGAACTATTATAAAAAAAACGTGTTATAAATATTGAAAAATAGAAATATCCACAGAAATATAAATGTACAAAAAAACAGACAATTCAAATATAACACATTATAATATTATTATTAATTATATTTAATTAAAATATATAATAGTACATATAGTCATTCATATTTGCATCACAAGAATCAACTATTAGACATAATGCACCCTGTACCATTTCATAAAATAACAGAAAAAGAGACGGAGCTTTCTAATGAATCCCACAACTTATCAAATATGCAATGCTTAATGTTTTTCAAGTTATCTAAAATCACATGTTTTTCTTTCTCATTCCCAGGGTAAACTCGGAGTTCCCGGACTCCCCGGATACCCAGGAAGACAAGGACCAAAGGTAATTACACACATGTATTCCTCAAAGATATTGTCATTAGTTCACCGTTATGAGTTAACTGTAACTTTAAAACAATAATGAGAAGGGACACAATGTAATTGGCCAAAGTGTCACTATACCCGAATGTCGGAAAGGGAATGAAAGATTCATACGTGTTCATGTGTGTCTGCTCCGCTGAACTGTTGACGGCTCGTCCTTCAGTCTGACAGGCTTGAAGCTCTCTGATCAAACACACAGGGATTTGAATATGCCTTTTGGTCTCAGCGCTCTGCTCCTGATATGACATCAATACAACACTGCTGTGATTTATGGTGCACCCCACCTCCTGTTGCAGTTCATATATCCGGGATATATCAGGGAATAAACAAGGGATATAATATATAAGGTTTGTCTCTCAAATGATGAATTACTTGCTTTCTCTCACTCAGGGATCTCAAGGTTTCCAAGGATTCCCAGGAGCCAACGGAGAGAAAGGAGCTCGGGTATGTTAAATAGTTTTTATTATTCTTCTCATTCGTACAAGGGTAGGATCAATACTGGCGTAGGGCTGGAGACAGGCTCCTGTCCCGGCTCCAGACCTATCAATCCAGAGTAAGTTGCAATGCTCTAATATAAAGATTTTTTTTACCAAGGGCAGAAAGACAATTGCATTCCTTCTTCTTTACCACTTACACAACTCATTTCCAACCACAGAAAGCATTGTTTATTGCTTTGCGGCGCTTAAGCAATGTTTCATTTTCTTTGTCTACGGGATGGGCCATTAGCTTGCCTGCAAGAGTAATGGTTTGCCCCCACAAGCGGAGCGTGCCACATAAAGCTTTTCATCTTCACCAAACATATGTGAAGTTTATGAGACCGTGCTCCCGGACAGAACGGGATAATAGTGCCATTAACATAGTTTTCACAGCACTTTATAGAAACTTTAAAGAATTGTTTTTCTCATTAAAGTGTTATGCAGCTGCTGTCATTGCAATGATTATATTGTGCATTAGTGTTGAATAAAATGTAATTTTCTGAAGTTGAAATGAATTTCTACGGTAATTTTTAAACTTAATGATAATATCTGAGCTTCTGAAATTGCACAAATCTGTTGAAATCTGTTTGCAAATGTTACCGTCTGTTGGGGTTGGATTTATTCTTCTTGAGGATGCAGCCTCCTAATGATGGGACTCCTTTGATCGTTGTGTGTGTTCTGCGTGTCCACAGGGATTGGCAGGGAAGTCTGGCCCACGCGGACAGAGGGGACCAACGGTAAGTCTTACTCAGCAGACTCCTGCTTGTATACAGATGGCAGGCTTGGCACCTGAGAGAAAAGGGAAGTTCAACCTGGGCAGGCTTAAGGGAAATCCACCCAGATTTAAAGGTCACCTATTACGCAAAATCCACTTTTTCATGTCTTTTATAAATAAATATGTGTAGCCAGTGTGTTTAGAGACACGGAAAGTTTCAGGAAAAAAATATTCTCTCTCTTTTGTCCTGATCCGTTTATATCTAAATCCTATCTGAAATTGAGCTGATCAGATTTGGCCACTTTGTGATGTCACAACTGTATTTTGGGTTCGGCAACCATTAGCCAATAACCAACCAAGGTAACCTCATCACCTGAATCTCTCCCTAGGGCACCATTGTGTTTCTTTTAACCAATCACTTCTCAGAGGGGTGTGGCCAGCAGCAGCTCATTAGCATTTAAAGCTACAGACACCGAATAAGCACTTTTGAAACAGGGCTGAAACAGAGGGGATTATGGGATGCTACAATGATCTGTTTGGTATTTCAGCCAAACACTTCAGAGACATGTTTTGTATATATCTATATACCTTTAATATATTGTTGAAAAAGGGTATAATAAGGGACCATTAAATGTGAACAACCAATTTCATGTCACAAATAAGTCGTAGGACCCTTTTTATGATTTTAATCACCTTTGTTTTGTTCCCAAGGGACCTCGAGGAGAGAGAGGAGCAAGGGGACCAACAGGAAAGAATGGACCAAAGGTGCGTCATATATTTCTCTGACTCTTTCTTGCAAACACTGTAGTACAAGTTCACAGCTAACTCTTTATTTTGTCTCTTCAGGGTACCTCAGGAAATGACGGCCCACCAGGACCTCTTGGCGAGAGGGTAAGTTCATCACACTACACTTCCTTTAAAACATTTCATAATATTCCATTGTTACAAGTGACGATATTAAGACAATAAGACATTTAAACACGGAGTCTGTTTTTCTAGTCCAAACACTTTTACTATTGTAAATGTAGCATATATCCGACATTCATACACAGCCCTGTCTCTGTCAGTGGGAAAGGGCTGTACTGAATGTCAGTTTTATTATAGTTTTGAAGCCTGTTTTGAGCTTGAAAACATGAAGTTAGTACTAGTATTAGTATGCCTACAGGTGCATGCCTCCCTTTGTGTGTGGCTGCAGGAAATGAAACCGTTTTTTCACCTCAAAATAAAGGTTGTTTTTGAAGGTCTGAACGCCAACAGATATGGACTAAAGCTGAATATTTAGATCAATAAAGACGTGCTGTGAATGTTGTTTCCCATTTCCTGTTTCCCATTGTAATCCAGGGTAACTTTAGTCTCATAACATGAAGAGTCAATTGATTATTGACCAGGAGTCATTTGTCGTCTGTTTCAGGGTCTGCCAGGGCCTCAGGGACCAACAGGTTTCCCAGGACCAAAGGGCCCTCCTGTAAGTCCAAACTCATACACCACACACCACCATGCATACAAACCCATCATACCTTGTCCTTTTGTCTCTCTTAGATTTACATTCATATATTTGTTTGTATTTCTCAGGGACCCGCAGGAAAAGACGGACTGCCCGGACATCCTGGACAGAGAGGAGAGACTGTAAGTAATCTATTACTCAGCTCTTCATCTGTATTCAACCAGAGTCAGACATATGGGATCTAACTCTGTTTCTCTTCTATAATAAACAGGGATTCCAAGGCAAGACTGGCCCTCCTGGCCCCCCAGGTGTGGTTGGACCTCAGGTGAGTCACAGTCACTAACCATTGTGTTGCTTCCTTACATGTAAGGTGGCATGTATAATAGCAAATATGTATCTGTTTTAATGTTAAAACAACTGTTCAGAGACTCGTTATAAAACATAATGAAATAAATACTTCACCCACAAAATGACCTTTAAGAAAACTTTAAGAAACGGTGAACTCGGAAAGCAAAAGCAGCCACAAAACGATATCAAAACATAATTTTACAAACTTTTCTTGCAGCTTTTTCCACTCAGATGTATTTAGTCGCATGGTTAGCATTTCCCTAACACATGCATTTTTGCTAAACCTCACAATTGAATACCCTTTAGACTTGCACAGATAAGTAGCCTTCCTTTGCAAGCCTAAGATTCTGAGTTTATGTAAGTGTTTAAACAGTGAGGTTTAAGCAGTTTTTCAGACCAAAAGAACAACAATTTGTCCTCATTGCACATAACTTAATTGTTGTTTATCCTCTTTTATATTAGCAACGGGCTCTTCATCCATTATTCAGTAGCTTTTAACAGACTTTCCCTCCCAGCCTCTCTGCTAATGCCAGCTGAGAACATTGAGCTGTATGTGGCCTTAATGACAAGTAGGCCTCCCACACAGCAAATGCTCCGCTTCTCCACAGCGTGTTTTGTAATAAATGGAGAAATTGTAACATCTTTTTTATACTGAATTGATGATTTCACAGTGTTCCTCTAGCTGTAGTTTCTCTGCTTCACACCTCCTCTTTAACTAGGATTAAAAGCTGTAGTGTCTCTGATTATAGGGACCAACAGGTGAGACTGGACCAATGGGAGATCGCGGTCATCCTGGACCCCCAGGCCCACCTGGTGAGCAGGGTCTACCTGGATCTGCAGGAAAGGAAGGAGCCAAGGTAAATCCTGAAACAGCACCCAATCATACCTGTCATTGGTTCCAAAACCAATCTGTTTGTTTTTTCTACACTAATTGTAATGTCATTTTGAACGGACAATCACATAATTAATACATTGTTTGGGTGTATTTAGTATGTGTTAGTGGGGGATAGGGTAACTTGTGTTAGTCTTACTGTAGATGTTTTGTAGGTTGTAAATGTGACTGTATAATATATGCATTTTCTTTATTAGGACAGAGTGTTAGTTAACATACATTTTAATTAACATTTAAATACCACCCAATAGCATCTGGGCCTCTATTCTCAAGTTTAAAATAGCTTATCAGGGATTCTCATTTTGCATAGATGCATTATGTCTTGAGTTTTAATGAATAAAACTGATATAATACTCAAACACTGCATAATACAGTATTACATTCATTGTGCTCTCCTCCACAGGGTGACTCCGGTCCTGCTGGCCCACTCGGTAAGGATGGCCCTCCTGGACTCAGAGGTTTCCCCGGAGAGAGAGGTCTGCCCGGCCCTGTGGTGAGTATTCTCCTCTGCTCAGCACAAAAGCGTCCCACGATTCCAATACCTCTCACAGCTTGGTTATTGCATAATAGTTCTGGGCTATTAAGTCACCGTGAGACTGTGGTTAACTTGAAGAATCAGACATGCTATCACATCCCTGAGTGGGCTACAGAAGAGGAACAGTGTGCTCCAGGCTGTTTACTTCTTTAATTTGTTATATCTATTCTAACTCAACAAAGTCCTGGTTGTTATGCAATTCACACAATCTTCCTACAGCTGTTAGAAAGAAATCCATGGCCAGAGCAGTCTTTTATTTGTAGGATGAAGAAATGATGCGTCCCACCTGTTCCTGTGAAATATAAAAGATGTTCGCAGCAGTTGTAGTAAACAACTCTTCTCCACTTTGGGGACTATAGGAGGTTTTCCACCTCACGCTGAGCCTGTTTGAAGATAGGGAGTCCAGTGTGAGGCAGGATGTGTGCTTCCCCAACAGATGTGTTTGTTTTCTGAAGCCTTCACTTGATTTTGTTCTGCAGGGGGCTCACGGCCTGAAAGGAAGCGAAGGACCCCATGGCCCACCTGGACCCGCTGTGAGTACAATTTACTGCATCTGCATCCTCCGTGTGTCACTCTCATCCGTCACCTTCCACATTCTGTCTCTGGGAATTGTCTTCATGACAAAGTTCCCACCCTCAGTTGTTCCAGGCTCTTACATAATATCAAACCATGCAGCTTCTTACATAATGGAGTCCTCACCTATACATTACATTACATTGCATTTAGCTGACGCTTTTATCCAAAGCGACTTACAATAAGTACATTCGACCAGGAAGACACAACCTTGAAGAAAACAGAATCATAAGTACATCAGGTTTCATAGAGCCAAACATTTCAAGTGCTACTCAACTGGCTTTAGATAAGCCAGTCCTTTATTAGTATATAAGTGCTTTGTTAATAGTTCTATCGCTCGAAGTGGAGTCGAAAGAGATGAGTTTTCAGTTTGCGCCGGAAGATGTGCAAGCTACACGTGTCTGATGCTTAGACTCCTGGTTGTCTAAGATGTTTTCTGATGTATTTCATATTTTCTGGTAGGGTTCTCCTGGTGAGCGCGGCCCTGCTGGCCCAGCCGGACCTACAGGTCTGCCTGGACGTTCCGGACCCCAGGGACCCCCGGGGCCTTCCGGAGAGAAAGGAGGACCCGTAAGAACCTCACATATAAGAGATTGCTGCAAAATACAGGCCACATTAAATACTATACTAAGACATGAACTTAGTTATTTTATCTTTATATATAGGATAGTGTTTACCTGTATGTTTGTTTACATAAATGCGTGTATAAATTAACTACAGTACAGAGTATTTGGCATTCAATTAGGAACTTTAGTTCAAGAACATGAGTTTTTTTCAACAATGAGTTGAAAAGCAGTTGTATTATCATCATATCAGATGCATAAAAAGGTCCTGAAATGAAGAAAATATAGTTTATTCCAATTAGTTCTCGACATTACGAAAACGAAAGTAGTTACATTTTACATATGAAGCATGTCTTAACACTCTTATATATTTAGGGAGAGAAAGGACCTCAAGGCCCAGCTGGAAGAGACGGTATTCAGGGCCCTGTGGGTCTGCCCGGCCCTGGAGGACCTCCTGGACCCCCCGGAGAGGACGGAGACAAGGTGGGTTACTTGTTTTCCATCAACTTCAAGAGAAAGATGATAACATCCAGAAAGCTGTGTGTATTTGTGTGTGCCCTAACCACCTTACAAAGAAACTGAGCCAGGTATCTTCTTGTCTCCATCCCTGTGACCTTAAACGATCTAATGGGAATTTGTCTGACAGGGTTTGCATCGATCAGCGGATCTTTAAAAAGGCGATGCTGCCTTGTTGCAGCTTTGTACTTCTCTACAAACAAAACAAAGACAGAGGGGAGGGGAGGCATTTTGTAGCAATGACTGCCTTTGTGAAAGTGACCCTTTAGTATTCAGAAGTGAGGACGACTCCTTATCCCCTCCAAAAACGTTTGCTGGAAAATGAGCCACGGAGAGACTCAGAGGATAATCTCTTATCCTTTGAAGAATGCCTCAGTTCTTAACTGGCCTTACACCAGTCCTCACGGAGTGGACGGACACAGATTGAGGGGGTTTGCCATGCAGATAAATAGGATCTTGCGAGCTACTGTTTACACACTTTCTCATTATCAGTCCTGTCTACCGGGAACGGACAACTCCAAGGCCTTTGTTTTAAGACCAATACTGAGAGCATTGTCTGACTCACAAACCAAAAGTGAATGCCTTTGACTTTGGCAGATATTAACATTACTTCTCCAAACACCCACAGCATGTGGAGGCTTTGAAAGAGTGCTGTAAAGTTCTTCACTCCAGGTTTAGATGGGACTAATTATCTATTCTGTTCTGGCTTCTAGTGGCGCCATCGTGATAAGCACCCCTTCAGATGTGAACTATATTTGTGAGAGAAACAGAGATGTATTTAAAATATCCACTGACAGATTTCTAAATAAAAGATGAACAGGTGTTGTATAATGAGTGTAGGTTATTATTTATTTATCTGTTACTGTTTTTTTGATGATAATTCAACATAATTGTCACTTTTGTAATCTTCTTGTCACTTGTGTATTACCTTGGGTAAAGTTTATCCGTCTTCGTTTCACACTGTGATCATGTCATTTCACAGGGAGAGCTTGGAGAGTCCGGCCAGAAAGGAGGCAAGGGTGACAAAGGAGAGCATGTAAGTTGTTCCAGAACTTGTAAATACATTGTTTATTATTCAATTTACTTCCTGAGATTTTACGTCTGATCCATTTTTACTTGGAATTCATGTCTAGTTGTGGAGAGTGTGTGTTTAATGTGTTCCTTCGCCTCTGCAGGGCCCACCTGGTCCCACCGGCCCTCAAGGACCTGTTGGAGCACCCGGTCCAGCTGTAAGTACTTCAATATAATAGCTTGGCAAAAACACAACAAAACAGGAAAAGTAATGGAATTGTAAATAAGTGACATTATTGACAGTATATGTAAAACAACTCTAGTTACTGTTTTAACTTAAGAGAACTGGAAACACTCTTAATCTCTGAATTAAGATGAACACTTTCAGCAAGAGCACTTATCTTTGAATCATCCATGCGAGAGAGAAGATATGCCCATATGGCATGCAGTGAGTCAAATCAGAGGGCTCCAAAGAGAAACATTGCCCCTGTGACGGACAGTGATGCAACTTCAAAATACACCATAATTACCTTTCCTGTTCAACAATAGTTTGCAGTTGTTGTTCAGATCAGTAAGGGCCTCAACTACTGCATCTGCAACCCTTATACCTCCTGACTGTTTTAATCCGTCTCGTTGTGCAGGGTTCGGATGGAGAGCCCGGTCCCAGAGGTCAGCAGGGTCTGTTTGGCCAGAAGGGAGATGAAGGATCCAGAGGATTCCCCGGACCTCCAGGTCCAGTTGGTCTGCAGGTGTGGACTGCAATGCAACATATAATGTATGCTCATTGTTAACATTGAGTGAGGCAGTATAATTAAACCCTCTCTCCACACTCCGCAGGGCTTGCCTGGTCCCCCCGGTGAGAAAGGTGAAACTGGAGACGTTGGTCAAATGGTAAGTGTATATAAAGCAGAGACACATCACATAACATACAGTTTGCATGGGAAGAGTCTTTACTCATTAGACCTTAACCGCTCTTTGTTTGTAGGGTCCACCCGGTCCACCTGGTCCCAGAGGCCCCTCAGGACCCCCAGGAGCTGACGGCCCTCAGGGACCTCCCGGTGGCATTGGAAACCCTGGCTCTGTTGGAGAAAAGGTAAACTCTTATTCTGTGTATAGTTGGATGGAAAAGTTTCTGATTGATCAGTTACAGTACTGGAGCATAATGCTGTTTTTGATGGCTTTTTTGTCAGGATTTTTCTTCTATACTTGGTGTAAACACAGACATCTCCACATTCATATAACCTCCTTTCAGTTGTGTTGTGATAATTATTAAATATGTTGTCTTGTTTCTTTACCAAAACTGCTTTGTGCACATAATTACACACATAAGTTATAATTGAATTGTCTCCTGGAACATTGTTTCAACTCAAAAAGCAGCATCGCCCACTCAGGTTCATATTTGGAGTGCTGAGCAGTCACATGTCAGTGCTGTAACTCTGCTACCTCGCCTCCTGGAGAAGAACAGTGTGTGCTCTGAGAAGCCAGCCCGACTCAAACTATCTATATTTTGTATAAAGTGGATAAGAGCAGCTGCTGTGATGATCCATCATGGAGGTCCACTCAGCCCGCTGAAATGTACTGTTTCAATTGACAACATATCCATTGTGCTACAGCGTTTTTGTTCCAGATGGCACCTCTGGTCTTGTTCCAAAATAACTGAGTGTCTCTCTAGATGTGAAGTAAAGCCTATGCCATTATCTCAGAGAGGCAGACAACACAACAAAGATCCCCAGGTTGGCTTAGTATCTGAGAACACTAAAGCTCATGGTGGTGTACCCATCTCTCATGGTAGACCTCCATTAGATCCATATGATCCATTTACAGTTGCTGGGTTGAGGGAGTAAGAATTATAACTCAAAGGCACTTTACTTGCAGGAAGATAAATGCATTATTTAAACGCAACACAATCAAATTAGCTCTTTTTATTTGTTGCCTCTTTTTTCATTATGAAAGGCCTACGTTGGCCCTGGACTGCAGCTCTGTTCTCACCACCTTCTCTCTGTAGTGATAGTGTGATTTGTTTTATCTGGTTCAGTCAATAGAATCACCTTTGGCTCCTTTATAATCTCCCGAGGATAGCCTGTCCTTTCCCGCTGCAAACAAACACAGCGGTCTTCTGGCTAATCGCTCTTTAGCTGATCTGGCATTTTGTTGGCCAACGCAGAGAGCTGGCAAGCAAATGAGCTCAGGCTTCTTCTTTCTGTAAACACATCCCTGTGAAATATCTGTGACGAGCAGCTGTCTCTCATGCTTGTGGCCTCCCTGCCGTCAGCAGGTTGTTGTGAGGATGCTGTGGAAGCCTGTGCACAGCTTCTTGGATGCAACATTGCATAAAGACAAGCTTCTAATACAGGAGGATCAGTCATGCTTTTAACAGGCATAGCAACTGCTTAGAGTGGATTTCCTGACATGAACAAAAGCTGCTTTGGAAGGCATCCAGACACTAATTCAGAGTCAGCTGACAATACAGAGCTCTTGTTCTTGCTTGAGAAAATGTGGATATGCTTATCACAGCGCATCGCTGCTCAGCTTGGCGTCGGCCCTGCAGAGCTCTGCTATCGATTGGCCCCCTCCCAGATATGACATGAGCTCATATTCAGGCTGATTCTGCGGTAAAGCCCAGCAGGAGGACGCTAGGTTTATGTGACAGTGAATAACGATAGTGCCCGCTGTATAGGTGAGTCAACAGAGCAACTATCCAATAAGGCAGGGGGACGAGGACAAGATATATGGGCAGGGTCCAGGGAGAAGAGCGAGGTCAGCGCCCCCCCTGGCTCCAGCCTCCCGATCTTTCTGCACTTGATGGATTGAAATCTCTTGTGTCTTCTCTTTCCATACCCATATGGGTGACAAGGGCACCGGGATAGTGGGGGCTGCTGTAAATGATGGGGTTTTTGGAACCGAGTTGGATCAACAAATCACTTTCTGATAATGTATGTGTCTCTCTCTCTCCCTCTAATATCCTCCCCTTCATTCTCTTATCAGGGAGCTGCTGGAGAAACAGGAGTGCCCGGACTTCAGGGAGAACTCGGAGGACCAGTGAGTTACCTGGTTTTCTTCCTCCATATTTACATGATTTAGTTCTAGAGCTGCAATGATTGGTTAACTTATCGATTCGTCACACACGAAAGAAAACATTTCCAACTTTTTTGATCATTAATGAAATGTCAAATGTATTTCAGTCTCTTCATAAATTAAATATTGTTGGGTTTTGGACTGACAAATTGAAAGTGGTCGCCTTGGATTGATTTGACATTTTTCACTATTTTCTGACAATGAATAGACCAACAGATGAATCCATTGAACTAACTAACCAATCAGTTGCAGCCGTAATAAGTCCATCCTAAAAATAAAAGGACCAATCATTTTGTTTCCACCAATTTAATGAAATGATCAAATCAGTTTATCTGTAAAGAGCATCAAGTATAATGTTATAACATGTTGTTATGAAGTTACATAGCAATTTTTCATTTGGTCTCCACTATCTTTCATGAATAAGAATAACTCAATGACTGTGTTTTTTTCCAGGGTCCAAGAGGAGAGAGAGGAGAGAAGGGAGAGGGTGGTCCAGCTGGTACATCAGGACCCCCCGGCCCTAAGGGTCCCCCTGGAGATGACGGTCCCAAAGGAAGCCCCGTAAGCCTTTTTCTACCCTACTTCAGAAAAACCATTGTTCTCTTATAAGAGATTTAACCTCACACAAAGGAAAAACACTGTGATCAAACTTTGTTTTCTCACTGAAAATTGTAAAAGTAAGATTTATTGATTTTCAGGGTCCAAGTGGTTTCCCTGGTGACTCTGGTCCCCCTGGAGAGCCCGGTGCAGCTGTACGTATGAGTTCATAAAAAGTGCAATATTTTCCTTACAGTGTGTTTTTGATGCAAGGCAGTAGAACTGAGGCTCTTTATCTCCTATCCAGGGATTAGATGGACCCGCTGGTGACAAGGGAGATGACGGAGAGGCTGGTCAAGCTGTGAGTGCTGTGCACCAATGTGCCCAAAAATAATCGTTTTTTAAGAAACTTGCCATTTTTAAATCACAAAATAAATTATATTTTCATTTCTTAAAACATAGGGTTCTCCTGGACCCACTGGAGAGTCTGGTCCCTCTGGACCCCCAGGAAAGAGAGTGAGTAAAGTCCTCTTCTCTCTTGTCGTTGCTTCATGTTATCAATATCAATTTACTAAAGCTAAAATGTTCTCATCTTTTTTTTCCAGGGCCCCCATGGAATATCAGGACCTGAGGGAAGACAAGGAGAGAAGGGAACTAAGGTAACACATTCAACAATAATCTCTTTTCAGTTCACCTCCACCAACGATGTCTAGTCTCCAGGAAATTAGCAAGAATCTAATGTTTGTGTTTATTTTTGTGTTAAAGGGAGAGACTGGTTTGGAAGGTCCCCAAGGAAAGACAGGCCCCGTTGGTCCTCAAGGATCACCTGGCAAGCCCGGTTCTGAAGGCCTGCGGGGTATCCCTGGGCCAGTTGTAAGTAAAGTGATTCTGTTAAAACAGCTTACAGAGCAGGTGCACATAAATGCTTTTCAATATGCTGCTGAACATACTGTAAAGGGGCCGGGCTATTTATAGGGACGTGTGTTCTCATGAGCCGAGTACGAACACGCTGTAATTGGTATTTCTTTGCAGGGAGAGCAAGGTCTTCCTGGTTCTACAGGCCCAGATGGACCTCCGGGACCCATGGTGAGTAGAAGCAGCTCCTGGACTTTGAACTCACATAATATGTACAATCTGAGCTGAAACTTTAACATGTATTCTTTTTCAATGTCCACAGGGTCCTCCTGGTTTACCTGGTATGAAAGGAGATTCTGGCGTTAAAGGAGAAAAGGTGAGCCGCCTGCCCAGCTGAATGTTTGTATAGCACAAGCTTAACACTAAGACTAATGGACCCATTTACTAACAGATTGATTAGAGCTGTTGTTCGCCTCCAGCCATCCAATCATTACCCTAATTATCAGCGCCGCTGCCAGATAGATGTGTCATTAATGTTTGTGTTGCTGTATTATTGACTGCTGTATTGATAATATGTGTGTGTGTTGTTCTCTACCTTCAGGGCCATCCTGGGCTTATTGGTCTTATCGGACCCCCAGGAGAACAGGGAGAGAAGGGTGACCGTGGTCTGCCCGGCCCCCCAGGACAACATGGCTCCAAGGGAGACAATGTGAGTCAACTAAACTACACTGCAGTCATGTTAAAAGGCCCACACAATGTTCTGTCAGAGAGAAGGGAATAACTGTGTTCTTTCTGATACCACATTAAATAAAAAAGAATGAGTAACTGAAACTTGTAGTAAAAAGAGATAGAAGGAAGGGGAAGAAAGAAAGTTGATTTATCTTTTCTGACAGTAAACTTCTGCAGGATAAACATTTGAATGATGTTTAGGACTGATGTATGTTTTATTGTTTGATTTTGATCTGTATTTGTAACAATAATCTTCTTCTTCTTCTTTGGTGTTTTATTAACTTGGGCACAGGCAAACTGTTGTCACGACGATCCCTCATTCTAGTTAAAACAGTTGCATCATGTTTCAACTTCCTAAGTTTTCACAAAGCATGGATTCACACTCTCTGTTTTGTCCTTTAGGGTATTGCCGGTCCTTCAGGTCCTCTCGGTCCCCTCGGCCCCCCTGGACTACCTGTAAGACTCATCATACATGTTGTACTACTGTGTGTGTGTAACTGCATAGCTTGTAATGCCTGAGCTAATATTGATTACTCCTTCCATTTCTGTCTTCAGGGTCCATCTGGTCCTAAAGGAGCTAAAGGATCATCTGTAAGTATTTCACAGAAATGTGCATCCAATAAGTAACAATTACTAAGCAGATGAAAGCTTTCAAATTAAACATCTGCAGCAGCCAGAAATTAGCATGTATTCACATAAAACTATGTCTCATTTGCTACATTCAGTTCATTTTGAAAAGCATTATATTTTATTCCTGCATTTGCTAGTGGGCCATAATGACACTACTTTATTTGTCAGGCAAAGCGGGACAAGTTTATTTATATAGCACATCAACACAAGGCAATTGAAATCGATTTAGAAAATAAATGAAAACATTTAAAGCATTAAAATATGGTGCAAAAGCAACACATTAGAAAATGACTTTTTTAAATATAGGTACTTTACTTAAAAGCCCAGACAATACCAGAAAAAACAAGCTAAAATAGAGAATTTTCAGTTATTATTTGATTCAATAAAAGGCAGAGGCAGAAAGAGAAGTCTTCAGTGTTGATTAAAGATAAATGAGAGTATTATTGTTCAAAATTGTGCATCTTTAATCACAACACTCATACAAAATCATCTCATTTTTCCTGTTCAGGGTCAAACTGGACCGAAGGGAGAGACCGGTACATCTGGACCTCCTGGCCAACCTGTAAGTCAAGGACTTCTGAATTGTTTTCAATCATCATTTCATAACGTATCCTTCAGTGTGAGTCATTATCTCCAGACATTTGTATAATCTCCGCCCTTATCTCTGACTGGCATTTGTCTCCCCTCCTTTCCTCACCCCATCACAGGGCCCCCCCGGCGATGTCATCCACCCCCTCCCCATGATGTCCAACATGAAGGGCAGAACCCGCAGGAACATCGATGCCAGCGAGGTGATGGACGACATGCCTGCAGATACCAACTACAAGGACTACGAAGACGGCATGGAGGAAATCTTTGGCTCGCTCAACTCCCTGAAGCTGGAGATCGAGCAGATGAAGCATCCGATGGGAACGCAGAGCAACCCGGCGCGTACCTGTAAAGACCTGCAGCTCTGCCACCCCGACTTCCCCGATGGTTTGTATTACACGTCTGAAATGAGGCATGAGGTCCCATTGTCTCGTCCTCCCCTCCCTCGCCACGGTTTTTAATGAATCTGAAATGAAACGGCCGTTATCAAACAGCAGCTCTCTAGCAATGAAAGGAAATGGGCTCTGTCCAAAGGCTATGCACATTTTAGCTCTGTTGTATTCCTGAAAGCCTCAGTCCAGCTTCAAGCCAGATCTATATGAAACACTGCAAATACAGTAGAATACACATCTCCAAATGCATGACCCTCACTTAAAGGTCGGGGGAAACAAAGGGGGGTTAAGTCAATAGGCAGAACTTAAATAATGTATTATTTGTACTTTCCAAAGTTCCAGCATCCATTTGGAAGGATCTAGTGCTTTCCCTTTTGCATCAAAAAACGTAGATATAATAATATGATTAAATCATGATAAATAGGTCTAGCCTATATTACGATAGAAATACATTTAGTATATACATTTTCCTATCGTTTTGAACATATATATATTTAAACCAATAGATTTTATTTGACTAAATTAGATATACTTTATTAATCCAAAACTGGGAAACAGAGACAGCAGCATGTACAAAATAAAAACATAAACAGTAAATATATGCATATAAAGAATACAGTTAATATATGGAGTACAAAACACTATAATAGACTGCTACTAAACAAACGACCATAGAATATACATTTGGAAGGGTATTGTTATATTTCCCAGCCGATGGAGTTCAGTATGGACTTTAAATCGTGTACCTCTCAATAATTGTTCTCTCTCTGTCTCCATTCCTAAAGGTGAGTACTGGATTGATCCAAACCAGGGCTGCTCTCGGGACTCCTTCAAGGTTTACTGCAACTTCACAGCAGGAGGAGAGAGCTGCATCTTCCCAGATAAGAAGTCTGAAGGGGTAAGTCTGGCTCTGCGTACACAAACTACACAAACACCTGCACACACACTCAGAAAACAGACAGGCAGCTTTTGGATTAATGCTAGCAACATGATGTGTAATGAAAAAGAGAAAGGAACTACATTTTATCATTATAATAATCCTCCAGTTTGTGATTTGATTGACAGACGAGCACAAGCTGAAAACTCCAGATAAGTGTATGATTTTCCTCACATCTGGGACTGAGTATAAATATCCCCCACATCTCAACACAGTGCTGGTTTGCAACAGTGATTCTATTGTGCTAACTCATGTATATAATTAGCCTCCATGAGATTACCAAGAAGATGTGGGAGATCACACAACAGTTCTTCCTGCATTTCCCACAAGGGACCAGGTGATTTTGCTAAATCTCAGTTTAGTTTTGACGGTTGATAACCTTAGGGTGAAAACTCCCTCATGCCAACCCATACTGTTGTCTCAGTGCCATTTTTAGAATGCCATTAAGAACCCATAGACCCTTTGGCAGGTGACAGACACATGGAGGAGATTGTCAGTTCATTATGCAAGAGTGTGTGGAGGAGAGGAGAAACATTGGGAACAGTGTTTCTGACGGGTGGAGGTTGTGTAATAGTACAGTGCTACAGCCGTTTTAATGATCCCACTCACTGAGCCTCAGAGGAGCAGGAGTTTGCTTAAGCTCAGAATAATGAAGCAGACTTTTTATAGAGCGCGGTTATGGACTGCTCTCATTTGTGTCAAGGGGTGAAGATAAAGCCTGTCAGTCTCCGTGCAGAGCCCTACGAACACATGCGTTCGGATTGGCACTTTTATTATAGGAGTACATAATGTCCACGCACTGTACAGAAAAGCAGACACATGCTAATGGATTTTGGAAACAGATAAAGTCACGAAAAGATATTTCAACTTTTGTCCACTCAAGTGAAAACAACTAAATGTCACCTTGAAGGCAGCATGGGTCTAATGTATGCCATCTCCCAGCGATAAGTGATCCCCGGCTCATCAGTCGTTAACGCATTAAGCTATCAATGACAGTTCCATATCAAACCCTGCTATCTATTTATAGACAAATTCATCATTGTCACGGCTGGGATCATTAGAGCCGTGCCCTGTTGGCCAATTCACAGCTTTTAATGGCATAACAAAGTTAGTGCATCATGGCTGCACACACTAACACTGAACAGCAGGGATGGAGGCCGAGGTATAAGAGCTTTCTTAATTAATCACTGTGTACTCATGAATTTCTCAGCAGCAACTCGCTGCCAGCTACAGTTTGTACTATACAAAATGGCATAATGGCTCGCTATTATGTTCTTCCCTGGACCGCTTGGTCTGGTTGATCCTGCTGAATGCTGTTTCAGGTCCGGAAGACTCCTCGAAGGACAAGCAGAAGGAGGAAGAGGGGAGGAGAAAAAGAAAAGCGGGGATGTGTTTCTGTCAGATGTGTTTCCTCTCTTTAACACTGCTCTCTGTCGCTCATGCCCCCAGGCTAGGCTCACATCCTGGGTAAAGGAGACTCCCGGCTCCTGGTTCAGTGAATTCAAACGTGGTAAACTGGTAAGCCAGACTCCTGACAGAAGTCCTTTTCCCTTTCCTGAACGCCTCTTATATTTTACAGAGCAAAATGGCAAAATGGCCCAAAGACTCGCCAGGCACATGGTATAGTCACTACAAGAGAGGTTCCCTGGTAAGTGGCCCTGCCTGCGGTCCCCAGAGTCCTGGTTCCGGCCGGGGCTCTGTGTTCCTGAGGCTCTGCATGGTTCTGGTTCTGCTCTACAAAGTACGTTCTCCTGCTTGTTGGTTGTTACTTCATCGTGGTGCATGACTCCAAACAAGTTGCTATCACCTGCAGTCAGACAATAAGAGGTAGGTGATGCTCTCACGACGAAATGAAGGAGAGGTTTGTGGAGTATAAAGGTAATATTTGGCATTTAATGGAGTTTAACAAATGTAAAACCTACTGTTTAAATGTATTGACTACTCTGGCACACCTCTGCTACATTCAGAGAGCATCTCCTCGTGACTGCGTGCCTCGACCCGTGACTCAACAAGTGATATCCATGCTAAGTCGATTTGAAAACACCTGAGAGGGACACTTCTCTCCTTTACACATCTTGTTTTTTTGATGCCTTAGCAGATCATCCATACTCCACGTGGGGGGGGGGGGTTAGTGTCACTCCCTCCCTGCTGCAGCCAATCAGCTGCACTCACATTCTCAGGGTCTCTCTTAAACACTACTTATATCTGGCGGAGCAGCTCTGAGTCAAACAGGTCAGGCACTCAGTCACCACCCAGGGGCTTCTGGGTATTCAGTCACTGTTGACTTGCGCCTGTGACGATAAAGAGGTAATGTTTCCCTGGCGATGTTGGGCTGGATCCACACGCTGCACCTTGGTGGGGGGGGGGTGAGTGGCGGGGTAGGTCAGAAATGCATGAGACTACCCGGCCGCTCTGAGGAAGAAGAGCAGCGGCACTTTGTTGAGCCACATACCGACATTCACAGACATATTGCAAGAAGTCCTCATTGTTTATATCTAGTGATTCATTAGCTAATTAAATCAACATTTGGCTCAACAGTTCTGATCTGAAATGTATTTATTTAGGATTGATGTCCTAACATATTGTTCAAACAGCAAAACCATAAAAAGGAAAGAAAAACAAGAAAGAAAACAAAATGACAAAATCTAATCAAGTCAAAATATAAACAAAGACAAGGCTACTACAATCACAACATAAACATTAAAGACACATATTTGGACATAACCACTATATGGCCACAGAGAGGCCAAGAACAAATACATGTTCAACGCAACAAATCAAAATAAATACAAACACAGTGTTTTGTACGTGTTACTTCATCAATAGCATGTACAGTGCACAGCAAAAGAAGAAGACAGCATCTTTGAATGAAGAGGATGATTATCTCCCTCTGTTCATGTCAAGAGTGTCGGTACTCTGGGTTTGTATATGCATGTGTGTGTGTGTGTGTGTGTGTGTATATGCGTGTGTGTGTGCGTGTGTGTGTGTGTGAACAACAAGTCAAGAAAGACGTCCAGACTCAGACGGTTTGCTGCTCGGCTGCATGGTGTGAACGCTGCATGTCCTCCACTCTCAGTCAGTCCTGTTTGTCTGAAAGGCGAAGCCACTTTGTGGACCTAATGGATTCCTGATGGTTGGTATGTAGATAGTCACATGTGGACATTTAGCTGAACCGTGACTGGTTCACAGTCCTCCGTCTTATCATTTATGATAACAAGCTAAGCTATGATAAGAGCTATAATCGGATTAGAGGATAATATGTCTTTCCTTTATCATGTAAAAATGTAGGTTAATTACAAGGCAATTAGCAAATCATTACTGCAACATATTCCCTATTAAGATAAGTACATTTGAATGCACTTACCATCATTTACTGATATTGGATACATATTTTTCATAATTACAAATGAACATTTAAATGAGGAGTTTAGTTATGCTTCTAGCATCAGCATTTCAGAAAAAGGACTGTTTTTCACTATCATCTTTACCCTAGAGACTTTTTCCCATTTTTACAAAATGACCTACGGTTGGGTCATTTTTTATATTTTTTATTGTTAACAAATCCACATAAAAAGAGCAAAACCACTAATGAGGTAATTATACTAACAGAGCTCCATTAGATGCACCGGCTGACATTAACATGAACAAGGGCACTGTGGGTAATTTAAAATCAATCCTAAATACTGTACACCAGTAGAGCCATTCTGCAGGTGGAAATATTCTCCAACAAAGTCACCTTTTATACCTGTTTCCACATTTGCTTTAAAGTGAATAAATCAGCCCGTTTTAAATGATAGGGATATTTTACATTACATTTTGTATGGACTATACCATGTCATTTGTCTCTACATGCTGCCGTATACTGTAGGTTCTTCTATTTTAGTTTAGTTAGTGTACCATTTGACTTTCTCTCTTCATTTAGCGGTATTTATTTCTGTCTTTCTGAATATCCCCACTGAGAATAAATTAAGATGTATCTTTTTTTATATTTGCAACCTGCTTTTAAAGATTTAAATCTTAAAAAAGGATTAATAGAGCTTAAAGCTGAGTGTAAAACCAGGGTAGGTATGTCGTAAAGTATGGGATTTGTTGACAATAATAATAATAATTTAATATATTAAGCTCATCCTCTTATGATCAGATAACATTAGATTGTTTAGATTAGACACCAAAGCACATTCATAGTATGTGTAAACGTACCTGGCAATACACTTAATTCTTATTCTGACAAAAAATCTCATTCTGTTAGTTCTGTCTGTGCGCTCCCAGAACATGGTAGTATATTAACTCTATCACGTCCTTTTCTAACACTTATCAATAAGAAATACGTCCTATAAATCCAAACACAGCAGTAAAACAGGAATACTAATTACTAGTCATAAATGTAATCAAAATGGCTCCCAAAGGACAGAAACAGTGCACAGCGCAGACATGATGGTGTGTTCAATGAATCTTTATAACACCCCTCAGTTCCTCACACTGGTCCCTTCTCTTGGTGTTACCTTTTCCGATGCTCAACGCCATCTGGTTTCCTCTCCGCAGCTCTCCTACGTGGATGCCGAGGGTAGCCCCGTCAGCGTGGTCCAGATGACCTTCATGCGGCTGCTGAGCGCGGCTGCCAGACAGAACATGACGTACAACTGCTACCAGTCGGTGGCCTGGCATGACCAGGAGCAGGACGGCTACGACAAGGCCATCCGCTTCCTGGGCTCCAACGACGAGGAGATGTCTTACGATAACAACCCCTACATCCGTGCAGTGGTCGACGGCTGTGCGGTAAGTCAAACAGAGAGGGGGGATCCTTTGATAATTATGTTTCTGTTGTCTTTGATGAGGCTCAGTCAAAAAGAGTGTGTGATCTTCTTTATTCTGAAGAAATGATTACTCCTCACTAACTCTGGCTCCTGCTGTGTTCTTCTCTCTTCCACAGTTGAAAAAGGGTTATGAAAAGACAGTTATTGAGATCAACACGCCAAAGGTGGAACAGGTGCCATTTGTGGACATTATGTTCAACGACTTTGGCGGCTCCGCGCAGAAGTTTGGATTTGAAGTGGGCCCCGTCTGTTTCATCGGCTAAGACTGTTTACTGAACAAATGGAGAAAAAAAAGCATATATTTGTTTTCTCAGAGAAAAAAAAAAAAACAATTGAAAAAGAATAGGACAATTCTATTTGTAAAAAAGTAACTTTTTTTTCCATAAAGCAACAAGTATGAGTAAAAATGAAATCAAGTGAAATTCTATAGGAATAGAGGAAACTAACCTTGAAACCTCAGTGTGCCTTCTCCATCACATGCACGTTTTGAAACTGGATGTCAGATCCTGCCTTCTACACAAACAACCCTAGCCCCATGCCACCATTCTCCATTTAGATGTAGACATGGAAGGCGACCCTGAGAGCTCCAACCGTTCCAGACGCTCGCTGCATTTGCCACGGACTCCATCTGATTTGGCTCTTTGTTTTCCTTTCAGTTGTGATCTCATGTTTTCCCGCCTCTCCCCGGCTTATTCCACTTTGTTGTTTTGTTCGCTCATTCTCTACGGGAGCTTTGTTTGTGCATAATTCTCTCCCCATTCCCTTGGAATGGACCATATATATATAAATATATATAAATAATGTGTATGTTTGTAAGTACATTCTGTATATTTTTCATGGTAATTTGTATTGCCTCTGGCTTCAAAACATGCATGTGACCTTTGACTTGTGAGGTAGGATACGATGGATACAGGGGTTAATGGTAGCAATATATCAAAAGTGAGGAAATTCGACTTGTAAATGAAAAAACCTCAAAAGAAACAAATTGGGAAGCCCTCTCTTGTTGCGGTTGTGGAGCACAGCTTGTTGTAATTTAAGAACAGAATGGAAATAAAAGACGAAAACAAGCTCTGTGATATTATGTGATTTGCATAACGAACGACCACACAAAATACATTCCTCCTTTTGTGCCCTCTGAACAGCTTGGTGGTTAATATTATTAACTTAATAAACAGCTTCTATTTTTTCTTTTCTTCAAATACACATCTATCTGACTATGCAATGGGAAGTGATGTCACATGAAATGAAAACACAAAGAAATCAAATCCTAGGTGCTATTTTCTCTCTTCTGTGGTGCTATGTGTTTTTCTAATTTGTATTGTTTGAATGAAAGAAAATGTGTGGTGATAATATCCCCCCGCCAGCAGCCCCCTTGACTCTTTACCACCACATCCGACTTTGCTGCATCTATTTACTTGTTTTTCTTCAAATGTTCTGCAGTGGTGTTTGCATGCCATTTCTCTACACATCCACTCACAGATCAGCGCAGCATGCCGGCGTGTGTTGCCTCCTGCTTCAGCGGACCGCACACACTTGTACAAATGTTGGAATTACGAGAGGAAAGATGGTGCTGTTGGCTTTGCATATCATTGCTCTAAGAAGCTGCATCATGGCTCTAGGTGTTGGATCATCTGTGCCGCATCAAACTGATGGAGTTGAGAAGTGGACATGTTGTGATTGGGCCAAAGCATCCAAAAAGGGATGAGTTTTGTTTGGTGTATGAAACCCTAAACGCTTCCACCAAAGGTTTTCAGGTATATTAATATAGCTTTAAGGGCCATGGTGGCTTGAATTCTTTTTTTTTAATGGGAAACAACTTGAAAAGTATTTTTTCTCACAGTAGAAGCAGGTCATCAGATGAAAGCGTTGGCTCATGCAGCATCAAAGATTGCTTGTTGGTCTTTTGTTTTTGCCCTTATTGTAATTATGCTCTTTGTTTGAACTATGCACTCTATGCTTATGACCACTAGTATCTACCACAGAATGTTACCGCTCTTCATACATAGGTTTTCTTTTTTAAAAATCTTTAAATATGTGACTTGAACCATTTCTGTTAAGATAACTCAGTATGCTTGTAGATCTTTGGCTTTATTTTTCATTGTGATGCGGTACACCCAAATTTAACACTTTCCTCTCAAAAAGAAAAAGGAGAAACAACATTTTTGTAAATGTCCAGAACCAGCAGTGATGCTGCCATTGTTTTTGTTTCCTTTCATTTTGTAGATTTCCGTTTGTCTGTTTGTTTGTTTTTCACAGTCTTTGTCAAACCTGTGTAAGGATAAAAGGATAGAAGTTATATTGGTTTTTATGTCAATAAATTCAAGTTTACTGTGGCCATCCACTCTTGTATGTCTTTTGAAGCATTAAAACCTCTGTATGCATGAAATTGTAAAGTTTTTTCTCTTGCTGTTATCATTTTGTAGTGACATGATCTCTAGTCCATATTTGATTCATCATGAAACATCCCTTTTCTAATGGTACGGATGAATAAAAGGTCATGTCCACAATTGTGAAGTTGAGGGAAAATTATGAACTTGTAACTCTACCAAAGCCAATGTTCTATTGTAGTATATTTATTGTATTATTTAAAATAAATGTTAAATGATACCATAGCATAAGATGCTTTTTACATGCACACAGGACAACTAAAGTGTTGTCAAATAAGTATACTACATGCTATTACACACAACATGTTAATGGGTCCTTTACGGATGCATTTGGCGACATAAACATAATTTATATATATATATATATATAAATATAGTATTTATGTTAACAACCTCTTAGGTGTGAGAGAATGTAAGTTGAATATGCTAAATGAATGATTGGTCTCTTTAAGATGCATAACAGGTAAGGCCTTATTAATTACACTGTCATGTATGTTTCCAAAGTGTCAAACAACTTGCTCCACAGATGCTCCAAAAGGAAAAAGATCTAAGGCTGCACCTCATGATCAGACACGCTGTCATCGAGGATTGTTCTCCGCTGATGCCTCCTTCAAAGAACATCCCTGCCTCTGCGTCTTTGGACAGCTAACACTTGAAGCTCATTTTTCTGCACTCTTTGCATTATAATAATCCAGGAAATATATATGTAACACTATGTATTTTGTGCAAACCTTTCTCGGTGATCATTAAAAAGAGATTCCTGTTTTTGGCCCCTCATTTCAATAATCTGTAATCTTTAGGCTTTGATCAACTATTTGGTGGTGAAGATGACTTGCAGCACTTCTGCTGTCTCATTAGCAGAACAACCTCTCACAGCGCACATTAAGCCGAGCACAGCAAAACAAAAAAAGTTGTTGTACATGATACCATGATCAATATTTAATGCCGTGTTTCCCGGATGGATTTGATGCATGGATTCTACTGAGGCAGCATCCTGGGTGAGAAACCAAAGCGAAAAAGTGAATCCCCTATCTAAGCACAGAACTACTTACAATGCAGGGGTGATAAGTGGGGCATCAAAGTAGGTTGAGGATGGGAAGAAGGAAAAGCATGGTGGGGATTTCGCTACCTGGCAACAGGTGATGTGTCAAAAGACTACAACAGCACCCAAGTGTAATAAGTATGTAAAAAATGTTACAAGAGCAGATTCAAATGTGAGAAGAATAGGTCACCATGGGACATCATGCAAATGTAATAAGAGAAAAACTGCTTTCGGAAAATATAAAGTGGAGGAAAGATATCAAAAGAACACTGAAGTGTTCCAACTGAGCTCCTCAAGGATACACTTGGAGGTACTCAGATCTGTAGCTAAGGAAAAGCACAGAAGTATTATCACCAACATTTAGTCAAAGTATCAAAAGTAAAAGTACTTGTTTTACAGAACAGCTCCTTTCAAAGTGTTATTATAGAATCATACATCCTTCTTTAACTAACACATTAAGAACATTTATGTCTATTAACACAATATTTCTCTCTAAAATTAAATGAAGTAGCATTAGATAAAAACAATGGTGCGTGTTTCACTTTCCTTCACTCTCTCTAAGTGCTAGAATATGTTTTATAGATATGCAAATGAATGATTGAACAATTTATATTTTGACTTCACCCTACGAGGCTCTCTGTGGGTGCTCAGAGGACTCTTCAATTCTCCGGCTGCTTGATGGCCGTCGTTCTAGCAAGAAAAGCATCCTCAAAGACTGAAAGACACCATCACCACTGTGATTCAAAAACTGGTTGCATGAGCCTGTTATGGTTATTTATATGGTGGATCTGTAAGCTTTTAACTTTTCATTTTAGCATTAATGTGAAAAATCTAAATCTCGTAAAAATGTTGATTGCAATTGTATTTATATATTGATTACGTTTTTCTTTTATAATCCTGTTTTCGATGCTTCGATATGATGATATTTGTTGCAATTTGCTTTTATGTCTTTGACTTAAGGATAAGCTGAAATTCCAGACTTTTCCAGAAGGCGTTGAATATGTGTGTGACGACGGGAATAAAGTCAACTCTTGGCCATTTATTTGTATAAATGTAAAAGTGGGCTTACAGTATAATGGCTTGAAAACCCCTTTGAAGTACATTTTGTATTTTATTTCTGTTTTTTTAAATGACCAAAAACAGAGGTCCCCACTTGGTAGGAATATTGTGATGGTCCTTTGTAGGTAATATAGGTGTGTGTGTGTGTGTGTGTGTGTGTGTGTGTGTGTGTGTGTGTGTGTGTGTGTGTGTGTGTGTGTGTGTGTGTGTGTGTGTGTGTGTGTGTGTACAGTTATGTGTGTGTGTACAGTTGTGTGTGTGTGTACAGATTTGTGTGTGTACAGTTGCGTGTGTGTACCTTCTTTAAGTTTGGTTTTGGGCATTCATTTATGTATTGTTTATATGTTTTTCAAATATAGGTAAATGAGAAAAAAATACTTGAAAAGCCCATCCAAAATGAGTCTTTACTGTTAATTACTTTCACAAAGAACAACAGCTTTGTGAAGTTAAATTAAGATCAGATATCGTTGACTAAACAAAAGAAAATGTCGATTAATAGATTCTGTAACACAGTCAGTCAGCAGAGTTCTTTTAAAATAAATGATGAATCAAGCATATTTTAAGCGGACTCAAATAAATTAAAATAGCAGCTCGTCTGGTTGCAACATAAAAGTGAATATTGTTTGGAATATTGGTGCCATGGATTTATTGTCATGTCAATTCCATTTTGAGGATGGGATGATCCAAAAATATGACAGTAAAAATGTCTTTGTGGGATTCATTATTGTGGTAGCAAACTGTTCCCAGCTGCTTTTATATACTTCAATTTAATAACCAATCTTGGTTCTCACATTCTTTGATTACTTTTAAAGCTACAAAATATATTAAGTATTCAGTGACACCGTTTATACAGTACATTCAAGTTTAATTATTAAATGTTAAGGAGTGCTGTTAATGTGTGGTCTGGGAAGAGCTTACAGGGTCGAGCTGCAGACGTTAGAATGGAAATTTGGGACGGAGCCCCGTGCTAATGTGTAATTGCTTTGAGCCCGTGGATCTTCAGCTAACAGAGCCCATTCATAGCCGGGCCCGGCACCACTGACCTACTTACATATGAATCAGATAGCTGAGAGGAACACGATAGTGTTATAACACAGGGACTGTCATATTTGGATATTAATACCAGGCTTTTCCTCGCTAATAGACTCTGACATTGAAGAGAGGCTGTAGTTCAAGATGTACGGTTCTCTAATGTGATTAGGGGCTGGCCACCCAAGCATTACACACTTCTGGGCTTGCATGCTGTTGTATTAAGCTGATAGTGTGAGCTTCATCATCATTATTTAACATTAAAGTAACAAATATATATTAAGCCTTATTCCTGTGTCAATTCTACTTTATTTTGTATCATGCTAAGTCAACTCCATCTTGTTTTTTTTAATCATGTTTTTTTACTGCCACAGTAAGCCTAATTTGGCGTACATTTCTTATGAAAAACTCAATAAAAAAGCATTTTAAAAGATTGATAATCACCGCAACCATAAGGGCATTGGCTAGACAATCACAAATGTAAACAAAATACATCAGGCTATTGGATCCAATAGTATTTGAGGTTAGCTGGACAGACCGATAACGTTTTATCTCCTCACTGTGGCCAGCTAGTTATGTACAGCAATTGTCATACATTTAACAAGGCTGGCATTTTTATTTTTAGATGTGTTGCTTGCAGTCCCTTGGGGTTTGGGTTGTGCTGTATAATGTGTTTTTTATAAATGTTTTCATGCTGTGTGCTATCACTCTTTTGATCATTAGTTGTGTAGCACTTGAAAACTGCTCGTTTGAAACATTTGATATGAATAAAGTATCTTATTGTTTTGTATTATATTATAATTCCTCAAAAGATAACAAATAGATTGTTAGCAGGTATCATCTCAGGTTGCCATCTGAATTTCCATCAAGAAGTGAAGGCGCACCTTGTGAAGCAGATTGTAATTGAACACACCTGATGGATGCAGAGTAGAGCATCACAGCCATCCACCACCTTGTGTCTACTATAATCAGTCAAATGAATCTACTGTAACCTCACACTCTGAAGACACAAGCAGGGCCGCCCCTGGCCAACTTGGGGCCCCAAGCGACATTGTGAGATGAGGCCCCCCCCCCCCCCCCCCCCCCCCCCCCAACCGACAGGAGTGAAAAAAATTGTTTGGAAACAAAGTAGGCTACTTTGCAAATATAATTCCTGTTTATTATTATTATCAACACAGTTACTTTGTATACAGTGAGGTAAATGGTAAATGTGCATTTATGTCGTTCAGTGTGCGTTTACAGGTTAATACGTCTGCATTTCCTGCCAAATACTAGCCTCAAAAAGATTAAAATATAATTAAGGCAAATAAACTACTTCTACTAATAATAATAATCATAATCAATTCAATAATATAAATACTATATTATTTCATTATAATATAGTTGTAATATAGTATAAGACAAAACATGCTTATGACATGCTCAAAAACTGATATTTCTTAAATCTGTATTCAAACGTAGTTCCCTCTGTCAGCAATGTATCAACAACTACACACACATTTCTCTCAGTATTTCTCTGTGTTGTGGTTGACATGACGATGACTGTTACGGCCTGTCCACACAGCGGCTTTGGAAAAAGCTTGCCGGCGGGCGTGTCTGAAGCTCGACCAACAACCAATCACATGAATCTCCCGCCCCGGACACACAAGCAGCGGTTTGATTGGCTAGAGCTTGTACTGGCATATTATTTGATTGGCTGACGCTTCCACCGAAAGCTTCAGAAGCTTCAAAAGTTGAACATTGCTCAACTTTTGCAGCCTGAAACGCCAGGAAAGCTCCGCTCTGCTTCCCACAATGCAGTTCGGCGAAAAGTGACGTCACCCCATTAAAAGTGAATGGGCAGAAGCTTCCAACGCCGCTGTGTGGACG